TTTCCATTTTGTCTCCGTACTCTGCTCTCCTACACAGCTTGCGTTCTTGGATGGGGCCGAGGCATACTGTTGACTAACTAGAGCCTTTTGGCTGGTTATCTTTGTTCTCTTAATCAGCTATGCATGTCTGCTCCAGCCAGACATCTCCAAAAATATACACAGTGTATAATACTTCTATCAATCTCTGTAAAACAATCCTGCTGTGGAAGATTGGTGATCCAATATGTTCTGCCAGAATTATTACAGTTACAAGTCTGCAATTCTTCCCCCACCATATCTATCAATATATTAAATAAAAGTCCCAATGGTACTGGGGGCTGGTGGATTAGTTCCAGATAATGCCCAATGTTACTCTCCTAGAGATTGGAAAAATAACCCACGATATGCTAAATAGACAGAGATGGACTGGAGGTCCTGATAGGGCGAGTAACACAAATTATAGGGAAGGGGAGCTCTACCTTTAATAGTCCTAAGGAAAAACAGAAATGTAAGCAGTAAGGGGAGAGCCAAAAATGGTATATGTATGAGTGTACTTATATACATATACACCAACACAAATACCTATAGGTATCCAGCTAGGTTAGCTAAGAAAAACATAGCTGCTAGTGAGGTCTAAGCCTACACCGAACAATTACCCAGCTAATAAACAAAACCCAGGTATATCCGAAGGTGAAGGACACTAGGGCTAAGATAAAGAGCCAAACCCCAAAAGAGTTTACACAGCAGCTCCAAACCAAAGCTCAGATAAGTAGAGCTGTCCCTATATCACCTCTGCACCGCTAGTGCCTACCCAAACCTCTCTCCCTTCCTGATCTTAAAAGAAAGTAAGTAAATTAGTGCATATTACTGCTACCAAGTGGGATAAGTGTTAAAACAAGACAATTTTTTTTTAAAGTGTTTTAACACTTATCCCACTTGGTAGCACTAATATGCACTAATTTATTTACTTTATTTTCTTTTAAAATCAGGAAGAGAGAGAGAGGTTCAGGTAGGCACTAGTGGTCAGTCCACGGAGGTGATATAGGGACAGATCTACTCATCTGAGCTTTAGTTTGGGGCTGCTGTGTAAACTCTTTTGGGATTTGGCTCTTTATCTTAGCCCTAGTGTCCTTCACCTTTAGATATACCTGGGTTTTGTTTATTAGCTGAGTAATTGTTCAGTGTAGGCTTAGACCTCACTAGCAGCTATGTTTTTCTTAGCTAAGCTAACTGGATACCTATACAAGCTTAGCAAAAGAACACAATATTCTCAAGCACTGGATGCATTTGGTGTCACCATGTTGTGAGTGATACTGCTGCACATGAAAAGCTTTGCTTTTCAAAGGTCTTAAAGGGTTACTCCATGCACCATGACCACTTTAATGGCCAAAGATATCAACTTCTGGCTTCTGCAGAAGCAGGATGTCATCACTGGTCATAGAGGACCCTCGGAGCCCAGCATGGAAGCAGGTAAGTGATAAAAACTGTTGCAAAGCAAAGGACCAGAGTACTGCTGGCATCATAAACACTACAGTGGGCTAGTTGCCATCCGTATGTTCTCTAATGTATGTATGAAGTAATTGTGAGAAATTACTGTTTTGCATTTCCAGAGAAAAGATATCTCATCAATGCACCAAAACCACTAGATTATGATGTAGTGGCTTTGAAGATTAATGTCCGTTATAATAAGATAGCATAACAACACCCACCTTACCTCTCAAAACATTTATTAGTTTTTTTCCCACTTTACAATGTGTGCTACTCTCTTAGAAATAGGATTTATTCTGTTATATAGTCTTGCAGAGAGGCCACATCCTCAGATGTTAGTAGATCTATCTTTAACTGGATATTGGATTAATATGTCATTTGCACTAAGCAATTCTTAAAGGGACATCCTATTTGTCAATGGGACATTTGAGGGAATATGGTATCGAGATTAATCCATATTTGCTTCTGATGTTTGTTTCTAATTCCCATCAAAAGTTGTAAACGGGAATGAAATTAAACCTTTTGTGCTCGATCTGTTACAGGACATGTTTATTTAGAGATTACCCTATAATACCCAGGCAGCTGATATTCTAATTCTAATGTGAAATATGTGATAAGAACCTTCTGTACGAAAGGACTTTGTTTCTCATCTTATCATTGGTGAAAAGTAGACCAAACTATGTGCTGGTGCCACGGACACTGTGTTTATATAGGTATAAACACTATCTCCTTAAATATTTAGGACTAGGAAGTTTCTTTCTGAACCAGACACATTAGATTTTTTTTCCACTTTGCATTTGGCCAATACAATTGAGTCTCTCACATTCAGAGTGCGTAAAGGGCAGTCACTGTGTTTATTCTGTGGAAAACATCACAACTTATGAGGTAATATAAAGGGAGACGAGGATGGAAAAATAATTTTTGCATATTTATTCCTAAGATTCCTCCATGCCCAACAGAACCAGTTCTAGGATTTATACTACCCGAGGGAAAAAAACAGTTTGACGTCCTTCCACCCTTTATTGCACATCTACCTCTCTGCGGCTCTCATTCTGGTTAACTTAATTTCTCTTTTCTGCTATATGTCTTACTGTCTCTTTCCCTTTTCCATTAGTCATTTTTACAATTTAACTGTGTGCCTGCACTGCACTGTGTTGAAGGTTGTGAAGAAGTCGGTGTGTGTGTAATACAGTCTGCATGTGTGTGATACAGTCTGCATGTGTGTGTATGTGATACAGTATGTAGGTGTGGATGCTGTGTGTCATGTGTATGTCTGAGGGAACATGCTTCAAACATGAAAGGCTGCAGGCGGAAACCCACTGGGGGTTGCAAATCACATGCTTCATCACTAAAATGAGAGGACACATTTCCACTCAGGGATATCGTTTGATGTCCCCACTTGTCCATGCAGAGTCAGCAGTCCAGGCAATTATAAGTATTCATATAGCTGCAACATAATACACAGCCCTGTACAATAGGTAAACATGGCAAACATTTAGCTGTTAGAAAACCTGTATGGCATAGGTACAGTAGGTGAAGCAGGCCCTGCCCAAACAAGCTTACAATCTAAAGAACAATGCCTCATTCTTCTAATGGTAGCGCTGGCCCTGTATACAGACCAATGTTATCGTTGTAAATGCAACCTCTGCTGCTCTTATAAAATCAGGAGCAGTCTGTCTGTGATTCACCCTCATCTCATGACATGAACTGCTTTAATGTTAATTAACCACTGTTAAATCATTTTAGCTTAGCAAGTGTTCATTAGGCATGATGTATACGTATTCAGCCAGGCAATGAAGATTATTCCATAAAAACAGTCATCAACATAGATATTGTTTGCAAGAAATGTTGGATGAAGATATTGAAACACTGTACTAAGACTTTCATCAAACTGTGAACTATAGAGAATAAAAAACAGCTAAAATTACAACATTGGGGGGTGAGGGAGGGCAGGAGAATCTCCATCTTTACTCAAGTCACAACTTGCTGATTTTTACCTAGATTTTGCAATTTGTTTTTCAATTCACAAACTTTTAGTATTTGGTGTATAAACACCTGTGTGTGTGTGTGTGTGTGTTCCCTTGGGATCTAATCTTGGGGATCTAATAGCTAATCTGTCCCTCCCCATAACATTTTGTAAAGTCTTTTTGTCTGGATACCTGTGGGATCCAAACGTGTTTATGGTGCTTTTTCCTCATTGTATAAACTTATGTTGTGTCTAGCTTAGATGGATATAAAACCCTGCAGCAGGGCTGTCCGTTTCATTTAATAACAATAGAATGGATCTTACATAAATCTGTAATATTGCCAAGTCCAACATGGGGGAAAAAAGTTATGTAATCACCAAATCTGTTTCATCTTGTCTCTCTATTTCTTGTCAATTTTCTGCCTACCTTGTTGCCACCATTCTTTTTGTTTCCCCATCTTATATCTAGCCATCTTCCTGGGCCTGTACTTATTAGAAGTCTTATTTTATTGACTGTCTCTTTTATTATGTTACTGTGTTTTCTGTGTCTCCCCTGCTATTCTGGTATCATTGCTACCAGAGAGCACAAATGCGGTACAACTACATACATACCATTTACTGTAATCCAGAATGAATTACTGAAACAGGAATTGACAAGGAATCGCAACTTTCAAACCAATATGGCAGAGCTAGAAAATAAATTGTAGGGAATTTTTCTCACTTTTTGACCAAAAGTGGTGCATTTGCTTTGGTCATACCTGTAAGTTGTAACTTCCCTTTATTCCTGCGCCAGACTGCTCTATGCAGCCACCCACTCTTTCTTCTGTGACGTCATCCTGCTTGTTTTGGCTCACCATCTTCTTGTCCTACCCAATGCTCCTCGTAGAAGAGCACTGGAGATGACCTGCGCATGCACAGCGAGTGCTGCGCTCATCCAATCGAATACTTTCTATGATTAGCATTAAAGGAGGTGACGTGTGTTCTAACAGCAGAAGCACCACTAGTAGTTTTTAGGAAGAAAGCCACTAGAGGCTTGTTAAACCCCGTATCTACTAAACGGCAATATTTGACAATGCAAGTTTAGAAAGGACCGCGGCACCCAGACAACTTCATTGAGACTAGTTGGTCTGGGTGTCCTAAGTGGTCCTTTAAAATATTTAGACTGAAATCGAAGAGTTGGGAAATAATTTTATCATTGAGTTTATCACATTTGTACTCTGTTTACTGTTCAGTGAATAAACATCTGTATTTCTAATGGTATCTATAATGTACCGGTAATAATATCCCATTGATAGTGCTGTAGGAGCAGGGTGTAATAATATCAAATTGTCCAGCAGGGCAGGATTTACAGAATATTACTTGCTTCACAGTTAATTATTCTGTTTTATTTTCCTTTTCAGCATTGCATTTATTACATTCCCTAAACATTTGATAAATTGTATACTTACCCTCATACTGCCCCCTTCATGCTTAGAATGGAATTTTTATTGTTTCACATAGACCTTTCTGTTTTCAGCCATAAATCTTGTTAAAATAACAAATACATTTTTGTGTCTCTCTCTTACAGCCTCTGCGGAAAAGGAAGCCATTAAGAGCATGTACAGTAAAGTTATGGACACATACGGCCTTCTGGGTGTACTTCGACTTAATCTTGGTAACCTGCTTCATACAACCTATGCTTTATTGCAGTGTTCTGTCTGTCACAAGGTTATTTAATGCTCTGTTTATACATTCTTACTAATTCGAACTTAATGGGGGATAATTACAGATCCTTTTCTCTGTTTCACCTCTTGGCCTTTCTAGTTAGCTCTGCAGGTTCAGAGAACATGTGCTGGCTGGGAGGATATGCTTTATCAGCATTAAAAATATTTGGGTGTTTCTCTGCCCCCTGGTAATTTGCAGTATGGATTCTAACTCTGTAATTTTGAGAACTGAAATGGTAATTCCAGGAAAGCACTTTACTATTTGAGCCTGTACAAATGGGATTATTAAAGTTTAAAGAAAACTGTTCGACTGTTTTCATTATTTTTAGTTAATGTAGCTTGTCTAACAAGGAACTCATTACGCTATAGGCATCTTGTAACTGCATCTACCTGCCTTTCTTTCTTTCGCACTTTCTTTCACGCCCGCTCTCTCTCTCTCTCTCTCTCTCTCTCTTTCACGCCCGCTCTCACGCTCTTTCACGCCCGCTCGCTCTTTCCCGCTCTCGCTCTCTCGCTCTTTCGCGCCCGCCCTCTTTCGCGCCCGCCCTCTTTCGCGCCCGCCCTCTTTCGCGCCCGCCCTCTCTCGCTCTTTCGCGCCCGCCCTCTCTCGCTCTTTCGCGCCCGCCCTCTCTCGCTCTTTCGCGCCCGCCCTCTCTCGCTCTTTCGCGCCCGCTCTCTCTCGCTCTTTCGCGCCCACTCTTTAGCGCCCGCTCGCTCTCTCTGGCTCTTTTGCCCGCTCTCGCTCTCTTTTGCCCGCTCTCGCTCTCTTTCTCTCTCCCTCTTTCGCCCGCTCTCGCTCTCTTTCTCTCTCTCTCTTTCGCCCGCTCTCGCTCTCTTTCTCTCTCTCTCTTTCGCCCGCTCTCGCTCTCTCTCTTTTTCTCTCTCTCTCTCTCTCTCTCTCTTTCATCCTCTCTCTCTTTCGCCCGCTCGCTCTCTCTCTCTCTCTTTCGCCCGCTCTCTGTGAACTACATTTCCATATTGACATACTCTGTAATTTATAATTATATTGATAAATAGTGTGAATAACCCTAAATGATACTTCTAGTAAGATTGCTTGTCTATTTATATTAGTGTTAATAAATACAGTAAAATATGGTACCTTAAACACTCCTTTTAAACAACATATAGGCAGTTTTTAATCCTATAAAGTTTATTTCCGTTTGCTGATGAGCCCTTCAATCTGTTCCTTTAGAATTCCTACACTGTATACTATTCTGTATTATGTTGGTCATCGCGCTTTTCCTTTTTATTATAGGGGAGGCCATGTCACATTATCTAGTAGTAGTAACTGGGTGCATGTCAGTTGGAAAGATTCAGGAATCGGAAGTGTTCCGTGTGACCTCCACAGAGTTTATCTCCTTGAGAGCAGACCCAGATGAGGACCGTATGTCGGAAGTGCGGAAGGTTTTAAACTCGGGCAGTTTCTATTTTGCTTGGTCTTCAACTGGAGTCAGTTTAGATCTTAGCCTCAACGCTCATCGCAGCACTCAGGATCAAAGGACCGACAACAGGTTCTTTTGGTAAGATATTGTGTTTATTTTGTTACCGTACATAAACTGGACTGTTAAATATCTGGGTGCAAGAACTTGCTTTTGGTAATAGTACATCCCCCAACCTTTCCCCAAGGAATACAGGCAAAATAAGTTGGGAATTATCAAGTCAAATAATGAAATGGTAGTAAAAGGCAAAACTAGATTGGATCAGGCACTGTAGTTTTGGGAAAATACTTCACTCTGACAGCATAAGCTTCTCCCATTATATCCTTTCCCATGTAATTTACACTGTATCAGACAACAGGGAGGGCTGGAAAGGATGCCATTAGCAAAATATCTTGCTAGTTTAACTCAAACAGTTGCCCACAACCCTATGGGCAGCTGTATAACTTAAATTAGAAAGATATTTATTTATTGGGGTGTCTGTTTGCACATTTCTGTAAGAATAAGGCAGTAGACAGGAATTGTGCAAGGCCTTTGCTAGCTCAGCTCTGTGTGGGTTGTGCAAGGGCTGATGGTCTGCAGTTTCCTCCTGCCTTGCATTGGCCCACTGGCATGTTTCCTGGGGACTTCAGTATCTGAGGCCAACCAGGCTGCCATTCTATGTTGAGTATATAAGTGTTTCCAAGTGTCCATAGGGTGAGATGAGGCAGTTATTATGACATTCATAATATGTTGTTGACATCATTGATGGCAATGAAGTTGCAGGAAACTGAGTCTGCTTTGTGAGTGTGAGCCATGCTCCGATCTCTGTGGCGGTTCCATCACACCATTCAGGTCGTTGCAGAGAAATTTGATGCCACACTTTGCAACTCCAGCAACCTCCATTAATGAAACACATCCCATGTTCTTCTTGGTTTGGACAGTCAACCTAAAGAACATTTTTTTCTTTTTCTCTTGTATACAAAAAAAAAGCTTATCCACTTGTACTTGTCCCCAGGCCAAAATTTGCCAACCCACCTGTAGTCTCATGGTTATGGTATCCATAATATTGTGATTGTTAGCAGTGGAGAGAGGTCAGTGCTGCCAATGGTAGAGACAATGTACTCCCAGGTAGACAACATTTTGTACAGAGAGGGGTCACATCCTCTTTATCACCTATTCTTAATCTTGTGGTACAAAAAAAAATAGCAGCCTAAGGCATATTGTTCAAAATTGCCTCTAGTGGCGTCTGACTCCCTGATTGTCAGCCACTAGAGGCATTCTAAATAACTAATGTGAAGATTGCCATTTCTCTGAAACGGATAATGCTTAAGTTCGTCAGACTGCAGGGACAGCATCTAGGCACCAAAACCACTATATTGAGGTGTAATTTTTTAGTACTTCGTGTCACATTTAGACATGCACAGAATGAAACTAAGGTTATAGATTTTTTTTTAATTTTTTTTTGTAATACCAGGGAGTATTGATGTTTCAAATGTTCAAGAATTCTTTATGCACCAAACCTTTTGTTTAACAGTTTCTAATTTACACAGGAATCAGTCTCTGCATTTGCACCTGAAGCATTACGGTGTGAACTGTGACGACTGGCTACTGCGCCTTATGTGTGGTGGAGTGGAGATTCGCACTATTTACGCAGCTCACAAGCAGGCCAAAGCATGCATTATTTCCCGTCTGAGCTGTGAGAGAGCTGGGACCAGGTTCAATGTACGCGGAACTAATGATAATGGCCAGGTTGCCAATTTCGTGGAAACTGAACAGGTAAGACCTGCTCTATAATGTTGTACTTACTTTTATTTTTTATTTTTTTCGTTTTTACCAGATAGTTCTGTTATTTTCTTTCATTTTCACATTGGTGGAAGAATTTTTTTTCTGCAGCTCCTATTCAGCTGCTGGAGAATCGATTGTACTAATGATCTGGGGATCTTTGTGACTCCTGGGTACTGCGAGTGAACGTTAATTACTGCAGCAAGTAAGCTGCCTGTAATGTGCCTGCTGCGTTTTAATGATATAAATTATTTAAAATCTCCTCTTAGCCTTTCTTGTGTCAATTGTTTTCTGATGTGGTGTCAGAATGTGAATTCAAAGAATGATGGATACTACTTAATCCCGGAGTAGATCAGACTGTACTATCCTCTGCCCAGAATGTAATTGTGTGGGTAACAATGAGAGATTATGCCCTTGTGTTTGCACTATACCAGATAGTGGTGGTTGGCTGGCAACCTACATGCCAACCTTTACCGCATTTCAGTACTTACAGTTGCTATGAATATGGTGGTTTGCGGAACTGCAGAACGCAACCATATAACATTACTTGATTTAGGTGGAAGTCCATTCACTGTTTTAGTGCCTGTGGTATAGCGTGTGTATCTGGCAACCCTCATTCCCAAAACCAGTACAAAACATGAAATGGTTAATAATACAACTGTGAATGCACCTTTGTTTTTTTTCCCTCTGCATTTACATGATGGGAGCTGTATTCCAAGTTGCATGTTTAATCCAGTTGCTGTAGAGTAGAGTGAACTCCCACCATACCATGCTGGCAAAATGCTGGCCAAGTTTGGAGGCATATACAGTTTGTAGGACTGGAGAGGCAATAAGCTAATGTGCATTGTGACTCCCATCAGGTTTAGTGTACATCATGGGTGTTGCAGTCTGTCTCGTGCACTCAAGCTGTGGTGCTCTGCACCAGTCATCAGGCATTACACCACAAGACGTTTGGTACAAGTTGTACTGGATAAAACAAGTCTGTGTCTATACAATAAGCAATTGTATGTCTCTGTGCAGGTTGTGCGAGTGGGTTTAAATACACATTTTTAAAACCACTTTGTTTAGGTAGCCACTCTTTTTAGATACCCACTTTAAGTTCCTGGATATTTTCAAGGTATTTTAATGTTTGTATCAGTGCTCCACATGTGTTTAACAAAATTGGCCTTTCTATTGGGTCTTCTGAATTCATAAATGCATTGGCACTAGAAGGGTTAACAATGTTTCCACTACGTTTAACTATAATGTTTAATTGCTTGCTAATTATTATGTTTTTATTTTATCACTTGTTAATTTGTCTAGTTTTAGGGTATGTATTCCTGAAAATTTAACTCTGCAATTCTGTTTTGTTTTGTTTGTAGTGTTATTTGCATAACCCCTAGAGTCCATACAATTCCATATATGTGTTTTCTAGATGTATCTGTATATTTGTGGACATTTTTCTTAGAGTGCAACTCTGGCTTTAGATTTATGTATGTAACCTGAGCCGCCAATTATCCTGGAGGAGAAATATGACATTAATATCGTTCCCTAATCTGTACGAGCTTGCTGTGAAATTGAAACTGGAATTCATATTTCTAGTGACTTGTCAGTAAAATTATTCAATACATTTATATAATAACTGTGTAACGAGACAGCAGGCAGAGCTCAATGTATTGTTTACACTTCTGATAACACTGTATGTTTTAGATTGGATTGAGTTCAGTTTTTATTGCCATTTTTATTATTTTCCCATAACAACATTAGTAATGAAAAATGTTTATTCTACTATAAGGCTAAGCAGATTTATTTTTCATGATTTCTTTCCCCCCACCAATCTTTTTACTTATTTCCATTAGGTGATCTACCTCGACGACTGCGTATCTTCCTTTATACAGATTCGAGGATCTGTTCCTCTGTTCTGGGAGCAACCTGGATTACAGGTATGTTGAAGATGGTGGATTGTCCAAACGTTGTTCCTTAAAGGGGAACTGCTACTTTACAGAAGTTTTCATATTTTGTTTACTTCTCTCCTGTATTTTAGAATTACACATTTGTGAAATGTGAAAAATAAAATTAAATGTTGAAATCAACAACTCTTTATCCTGCAACCGGGTGCCTCCATCTTGGTTCTCTGTCAGACATTGTTATAAGCCCTGACTTTTGCATCTGGCGTCAGCATAGAGACTTATACAAGGAAGCGGAGAAATTAAACCATTTTATTTTCCCTTTGTTATTTGGAGCACTTTTCCTCATCATTTTTATTTTCTTGTTTCTCCTAAAGTATAGTGTCTTGTTCGTAGCACCCAAGCAGTGATTTTTAAGAGCTGCTGGCTCCTACAAATGGGTGTACCAGACTTTGAGGCCTAAAAAGAATTATATAATTGGTAGCGGTTGGGACATGTGGTACAACATAGTGAATAATAGCAAGTAAGACTGATAGAACATAGTGATGGCAGCCAGTAACCTAGATTGAGCTGTAACCATTTATAACATCGCGTGTGTAGTAGCCAGCAATGCTGATACAAGATGGCGTGGTGTGTTTACAAAATGTAATATGTGACTGGTATAGTTTCTGCGTGAATTTGGCAATTGTACATTCTAAACATGTCTCTACAGGTTGGATCTCACCGTGTAAGGATGTCCCGTGGATTTGAGGCCAACGCACCTGCTTTTGATAGGTATGAAACATAAATGCTTAGTTTGTTTAAATAAAGTTTGGATGTATATCTGCTGGCTTCTGCATTTTAATTCAACATAATTTGTATTCGATATTGAGTATAAAGTGGAAAAATAATTATGGAGTAAAGAAACACAAACCATTAATTGGTGGGTTTAGAAGGTCAATAAATTGACAGTGTTGAAAGAGGTAAGTCAAGGGGTACAGGTGAGAGGGGTATTTCAGAATGACCCTTGGGACCATCAGCACGGTGTATCCTGTTCAGTCAAATGAAGGAGAGCATAACCTGTCAGAAATAATAATACAAGGGGGCGGGGCCTGAGTGGCATGTAGGAGAGACGTGCATTGAAGGAGCTCCATAACCATTATGGCAAAAAAGCAGTTTTCTACTTCCACAAGCTTGATCTAGACTGCACCCAACGACTTACCTTCCTCTTGACCCAGCAGAGAATCCATGTGGATGAGAGCTCACATCGGGCACCACTTGAACCATGCGGCTGAACTAGCCCCGGGTGGGAAAGGCGGCCGGCCTGGGGCTGCCAGTCGGCATTTTGCCCTGTACAAGTGCCCTGTTACCCCCCTATCCCCATTGAACTAGTGTGGTTAAACCCAGTCCAACCCTGGGAGTCTGCCCTGAACAAATGGGATCACAGGGTGAAACGACAGGGCATAGTGCAAACCTCAACAACTCACCCTGACGCCACGCGAACCCCCAACGACACAGGGGAAAAGCAAGACATATTTTCCTCAATGCAGGGCGGCGTACAGGAGGAAGCAATTGTGGCTCAGTGCTGGGACTCTAAAACAGGCAGAGGTACTGGGGGAAAACCCAATGGTGGCATGTGATGCTACCCAGTGGCATACATCGAGGCCCGGAGGCCTAACCCTCTTAAAGTTGTGGGACTCTGTTATACGCCAAGTCAGCATAGGTTGATCTGGGTCCACTGAGAAATGCTCTAGGCCCTTCATATTACTGCCCTACCAAAGAGTTCACGTGAACATCCTCTTTCTCTCACCCGCTGATTCCTCTGGCTTATTCCCATTAACATGCTATTAGCTGGGGGGCCTCCCGGGAAAATCTTTCTGATACCTCTCATGTTGAATTATGCCTGTTTATATAAAAAAAAAGTGTGCCTTTGAATAGACAGGTTCAAACTGTATTACAGATTACTACATGTACAACCTGTGTATTCACGCATTGTTTTCAACATGCCTACTCCGTTTAGTATTAAGCCTGTAACTCTTGTATTATTGTTTTCTTGTTTAAAAAATAAAAAAGTACAGTACCTCATGACCACTCATACTGATGTCTTGTTACATTATTTTATGATGTATGTCATATTGGCAACATGTCTTTGAATCTGCACTGCAAAAATAAAGAATTGAAAGAAAGAGAATATAAATTTTAAAAAACCTAGCTTGGCCTAGGTTTTGTCTTGGATATCCCAGGAGGTGGACCTATCCCCCTATATCTCTTTTTACATTGACCGGTAGAGCCATGTGATTGTGTATTTTGTGGTGGTGGTTTTTTGTTAAAGGCATATATAGACCTAATATCTTCTGAAGTTTTGCTCAGATATAACATTATCTGAGGATATTCACTTGAATATCACCGTCATTTGGAAAAGTGCAGTTTGCCCAGTCCTGATGTGTTTTAACACAAGCTAAGTAATCCAGTTTCTTCTTTATAACTTCACAGGCACTTCCAAACCCTGAAACGACTGTATGGAAGGCAAGTAATAGTGAACTTATTGGGGTCTAAGGAAGGAGAAGCCATGCTGAGCAGAGCGTTTCAGGTGAGCTCAAGTAGCAGGAGGAATAATTATAACTATAATAAAAGGTTGAGAAAAGTCTAAAACCCCCCCCCCTGAAAAATCCTTATTGACCCCAAAGTAACTATCAATTGCTAATCCGTTAAACCAGCTGCTATCACTTTATATATGTGACTGTTATCAATGTCTCCTGCTGAATGCGATGATCAGTATATATCAGCTCCTGTCATACTGGCAAATAGAAAGCACGTGATCACATATGTAGCTTCTGTCATTTTGCTGTAAAGTGAATGTTTTCTGTCATTTTGCTTTCTATCTTTTGCAGAGCCACCTAAAAGCATCTGAGCATGTTGCAGATATTCTGATGGTAAATTTCGACTATCATCAAATGGTCCGAGGGGGTAAAGCTGAAAAACTCCACAGTGTCCTTAAACCTAAATTCAACGCGTTCTTGGAAGATTGTGGATGTTTTTATCTTGATAAGAATGGAGTTCACAGGTTTGTCAGATTCTTCTTGTTTTTCGTAAATTAAATTTTTTTTTTTTATGAATATTTTTTAGATGGCAATAAAATCTATATGTTCCATAGTGACTATTCTTCATGAAGCTTGTCATTAAGTGTTCTGTCAACATATCTGTTATTGTATCTTAAATTTGATTACCTTAATTATTTGCGCTTTTTTTTTTTTTAATGGTACAATAAAATAAGGGCCCCATTGCTCTCCACAATTTATAAGGTTAATCCAGACTTAAACCCCTTGCTCACGGTGCCTAAAGGGATGGTGGCTATACCTCACTTACGAGGCCTAACAAGGCTGAAACGATCGTCTGGGGTTGCTGTATTTCGGCCTGCATTTTGGATTTAGACTGCATTTTGGCTGGGATCAGTCTGATATCTAAGTAATTTAGTTTCTCTCTGTAATGGCACAAGATGAGTTAAAACCATGTTGAGAACTGAATTGTTAATGCTCAGCATTCTCTTGTGCCGTGTTTTAGTTTGTTAGGTTTCCTTAACGTCCTGATTCATCTTCCATCACGACCTATGTTTTAAATGGTGTTATGGGCAAATTTCCTCTCTACAACATGGCAGCATCCTTTCCTTTATTATGGGCATGAATTGAGTGATTACTGGATACAGCTCATAACTCACCCTGCAGCAGGTGTGAAGCATTGGCAGCAATTATTCACACTGACATACTCACTGCTAGATCTCCCGACAGACTGACCTAGTGATGTCAGGAGTGGCCTGGCAATCTACGATGAAACCGTTTTAAATCTACTTTTAAAGGGCATGAAGGGAAACGGTCATATTGGTGGATTATGAAATAAAGAATTGAGTGTTCCAACAATGACTCTTTATAAAATGTCATATACACAAACACATTGGTGGGGGAGAGGGGTATTTGGCATCAAACGTGGATAAAATAACATGAAATGTACAGATTAAAATCTTTATATTTACCTGAAGCTTGCTTCTCCTCCACCAAGATGGTCACTGCAGTTGGTCAGACAGCTGACCATTTGGTATTTTGAGATGTTGCAGGATTAGGCAAGAATCGTCATGTTTGTAGTGTTTTTTTGCAAGTATGGCCAAAAATGTTATTGCTGATTAAAATGTAATCCATGTGTTTTGCTAGCAATTTGCTCTGTGTAATGTGCAGGCAAAGTTTAATTATCTCCAGTGGCACACCATGTAAATTTTGTACTTGAATAAGGCATCAAGTCAGCCTAGAATGGACAGATCTGGATTATGTTTTCTGTTAATCACAAAGACTTGTCACCAGGTAAAACATGCTGTAACTGTTCAAACAAGACATGTGCCTTACCCTGCTGTACAAACATATCCGTAAAAAGCGACTCTCTCAGAGGCAAAACTATGTACCCCTTCTGTTACCTACTGTGTAACATCATAACTAACTCTTGAGGGGTCTTATGGGTTCTCTGAGAAATCATATACAACAGCCATGTTCAGATACGAGCGCAAGTCTCTTCATTCGTAAAAAAATTTAAGTTTGCTGCTGTTAGCTTGAGAGAAGTTCAATTTGTATCTTTACGTGAATTAAACTACTCCTGAATACTGATCTGCAAACTGCCATTTTATAGCAAACATCATAAATTCAGCGTATCTCTCGATTCTGTTTTATGTATTTATTTTTGCTTTTTAATTATCTCCATGTAAAAGGTAGAATGCATCCTGGGGTATCTCTTTATCACCCCCATTAAAATACAGCTTTACTCCTATTTATAAAACTTGATTGGTAACACCCAAATGGTGTTCAATTTGAATTCACTCTTTTTTTTTTTTTTTTTTTAACGTTTTCCCTTTCACAGAACCCAAAGTGGCAGCATCAGAACCAACTGCCTGGATTGTCTGGACAGAACCAACAGTGTTCAGGCTTTCCTTGGGCTAGAGGTGAGGCTTGAAATCCTATTTCATTTAACTGCTCTGTATTCTCCAAATAACTGCCTGACCCTGCGCTGATCCTATTATTGGGGAATGTGGCCATTGATTGAATACCCTGTAATGTAAGAAACCAATATTCCTCTCTGGAACCCATTTATCCCACATTTGGTTTTGTGTTAAGTCTCTTTACTGCTTTCTTTTCGCAAAACCTGAGCCAGTTACAAAGGTGTTTGTCACTTTACTGGGTAGCATATTACCCTAATTGAGTCTTCTAACTATATTGTAATGAAGGGATGCCAAACTGCTGCCTCCCAGACATCAGATTGTATCTCCCACAATGCTTTGCAAGCCTACAGATGTTGGAGAGTTATGTAAATGGTTGTCTAACAGCATTTGGTGGGGCAGTATTCAGCAACCTGCAAAGGGAGTTTATGTAAGTATTACACTTAGTGTGATCAATAATAGTAGGATGCAGAACGAGTATTTGCTGGACGGACAGCCATTAGGTTTATTTGCCTAATTGGAATACGTTTAGTAGCCTAAGAAGTGTTTTTTATTAACACACCAATACAATTACAATATGTACTACAGTTGTTCTTGCAGTTTAACCTTTATCTTAAGAAAGCACATGTAGTCGATATAATATGTCAATATTACTCTTGCCATGTTTGTCCAATAATTCCGTTGCTATAATAACAGTATTACAGTATTAAGTGATACCTTCTTAAATGAAGTAACAATACATATTAAAAGACCAGCTTTTCAGCGTTACATCTCGTCGTCATAGCACAAGCAATCCTGATATAATGGAATGTCTTCTAAAAAAGAGAGAGAATTCTCAAACATGTCTTTTAATGTGTATTGTGAGTAAGGGATCACGTCATACTGCAATGCACCTGTTATTCTTTAAATACACACTCAGAATGTACCGGTTTTCCTTTTTCACTGTATTGAATCATCCACATTCACTTAAGTTATTTTAGATCTCAGGGAGTAATAAGTCCTAGTTGCAAGAAAGCCGTGGCTTCTAAAATGTATGTGTATATATTTATATATGTGTCAATAACATATTCTTATCACAGGCTCCACAAAATGTTTATTCCTACATAGACATTACTGGCCCCTAGAATTTACAAACATTCATTCAGAAGGCATGGTGTTTACATCCGTTTTCAAGCTTTCGTGCATTGTTTTGTATAGGTCATAATATATATATACTTTTTTTTTTTTTTGTGTGTGTGTGAATATTTTAACCTTATATTTTGTAACTGTTGCATGCTACCACAAAGTATTTGAGGCTGTACGCATGCTTAGCCTCTTCTTTGTTACTTTTGAATTCAGGGATTAAGACATTTAGATCAAATAATTTCTGGAAGCTGCCAGACTGTTAACAAGTCTGTAAAATTACTAGTTAATAACTCATTCTAAATTGACTGGTGTACCGCTACATTACACTGATAAAAAACAAGCTGTGATGTCTCTGTACACAAAATGCAATTTTATTAAATGTGATAGTTTTCTTAAAGAAACACTATAAGGTCAGGAACATAAACATAAATTACTGACCCTATAGAGTTAAAACTACCATCTAGACTCCCTAAAAATAGTTAAATCTTACTTGTACTCAAGTCTGCCGCTGCTGCCTCTGCCCCTAATCTGCCTGCTTGGCTGACATAATCAAAAGTGGGAATCCCAAGCCAATCACAATCCTTTCCCGTAGGATTGGCTGAGACTCTCAAGGAGGCAGATCAGGGGCAGAGCCATCATATGTCTCAAACAGCCCTGGCCAATCAGCATCTCCTTTTAGAGATGCATTGAATCAATGCATCTCTGTGAGGAAAGTTCAATGTACCCATGCAGAGGGTGGAGATACTGAATGGCAGTACTGCACAGTGTACAGCACTGCCCCAGGAAGCACCTCTAATAGCCATCTGAGGGGTGGCCAGTGGATTAATCCCTAGGCTGTAATGTAAACCCTGCATTTTCTCTGAGAAGACAGTGTTTATTGCAAAAAGCCTGAAGGGGATGATTCTACTCATCAGAACAAATGCAATAGGCTGTAGTTGTTCTGGTGACTGTACTGTCCCTTTAAGGGCCATTTCACCTTGTTTGAAGAAATTCTATGATTTTCTATATTGTGCTTAAAGCAGTTCTCAAACATGTACATGTATTCCTACTGTTATACTAACTTTTTAGATTATCACTATTTACATGTAAGAAAATAGTTTTATTTACATTTATTGTCTGTCGCTCCAGTCTCACCAAGGCCACCAAACTTGCTCTGGCTGAGATCACCAATACTAATGATCTCAAGTCAATCAACTGCTATAGGAAAACTTTATTATGCAGCAATAAAAACTGTGAAAAGGCAATGTTTACACTGTTGAGACCCCAGGGACAAACCTTTTGTAAGTTGTAGTGGTTATGGGGCATATAGGGTCCCTTTAAATGTAAAGAAAATATGTAACAATGTGTATTGGAAAAGCCCACTCATGACCATGTTTCATTGCTTATATGCCCAAGGAACACTTAGTCTGCCATTGTTCATATCTCTTGTTTAGCACCAAAGTTGGACTGTTGAGATGTGTTCCGATTTGTTAATAAAATTGTTTACTAATTTTGGATGTTTTGTTTAGATGTTAATAAAGCAGCTTGAAGATCTTGGTTTGGCTGAAAAACAACAACTCGTGACCCGCTTCCAGGAAGTGTTTCGCTCCATGTGGTCCACAAACGGCGACTCCATAAGTAAAATTTATGCCGGCACTGGAGCTCTCGAAGGCAAGGCTAAGGTGAGAAACAGATTATTTTATCAGAAAAGCTGACTCTTTCCCAATGGGTCTATTATATTAATATTGTATAATGAAAGATCCTCTTACTTATTCTGGCTAGTATACAAAGTATTAGCTATTAGATATGCATGACCTTATTGGTGTTCGAGGTACGGAATGGTGATAAACACTGCACTCTTTAAGGCCTTAAAACAGGAGTGACCTACGATTCCCATGATGCCTAGTCATCTTGTTCTAAAACCCAGATTCACTGTGAGAAGCTCTCTCAAGGACATTTATGCTCCTGGTTATTTATCTTGGCTGGTTATAATCTAATGGGCAGATGACAGTCTTTGTGATATACTGTGCATTAGCTTATTAATTGCATCTCTAATACTCTAGTGAAATATTTTATCTAAAACATCAGAACTGATTGTTCTTTCCCAGTCCTCTGTGCTGCTATGAACCCCAGACTAAATCTATAAATCTTTGCAAGAATCTTTTCTCTCTTTAACTGCCTGAACTAATTACTGACCAGCCATCTGAATCTGACTATTGAATGCTTTTATTGTCCTTGGACCGAGCAACAGGATCTAAAAAGCAACACCCTCCCTTTCTACCAGGACAACAGGCTGGCTTAGATTGATTGTAGATACAGGCTATAGTTTTCAACGTTGAGATTGTCTTCTATGTGTAATTTATATCATCACAAGAAATGCAGCAACTGTTTTGTGTTTTCTAATGCAGATAACCTTTATTATATCATTTTAATAACTCAATTGCCAACTATATAGGGGTGGGGTGGGGGGGGGAACCAAATACAAAACACAAAAAATAGCATTGATAGATTAATTGATCATCTTTGTATTGTGCTAGTGGAACTACTAGCAAATGTATATATCTTAAATTAAACAAATCGTAAAAAACATGTAATGCCTCTTCTGACATGTCAATCAATTAATAATGACTGGCAAAGGTTCATGGGAGTTTTGGTTCTTTAATATTCCTTCTCTATGATTACCAGAAAGTTTTGTTTTAAGTGACAGGTCGCTCTGTTTACTGAATGGCTTAATTCATTATTTCTCCTGTGTGAATACATACAGCGTTGCATTGCTTCAGTTTTTCATTTCTTGCTTTATCACCTTCCCTTTCTCTCTTTCTCTGTATAAAATGGAGATATTATGATATTTTCTAACATCTTATCTCTTGACTGCTTTCCTCCTGCCTTCTCTTGGGGCCTCTTCAAATTAATGTGTGTCTGGTGAGTATTTATCATCCAGTATCCGGTGCTAGTGGTCAGCTGTGCATGTTTTACTGGTGTATAATAGAATGTTAAAGTCAAAATAAACCAACTGTGTCCCCCTTATGCATAATCTATTCTAAAATAAACAAACTAAATAAATGTAAAAAAAAAAAGAAAACTGGCAAATGGTTGTGGGTCTCATGTAAAAGATCAAACAAACAGATAAAAGCTAAACCATTTATTTATTTATAATTCCTAGTATCCTAATCACCTGAAGTGTAGCATAAGTAATCAAAGTACCATTTTAAGTGTCAGATGTGTGCAATGCATTCTGGGTACAAATATGGCATTCAGACGGTTCAGTAGAATAGAATGCCCAACATCCTGGCAATCCTTGCATTGTGGGACACAGGAGAATGGGAAGGATTAAAATCACATGCTTATTGACTATAGGGAAAACAGATGTGGAGATAAGTTCCTGTGTGTTTACCTTGCTATTTTGTGTTTGTGTTGTCACAGGCTGGAAAGTTAAAGGATGGTGCAAGGTCAGTAACCAGAACAATCCAGAGCAACTTTTTTGATGGCTCCAAACAAGAAGCAATAGATGTTCTGCTTTTGGGGAATACCCTGAACAGTGATTTAGCAGATAAAGCCAGGGCCTTGCTAACCACTGGAAGCTTACATGGTATGTGTGTTTCATTTATCATAAGCATGTCTAAAGTGTCCTGGTGCTTCCATTCACAGTGTGGATCCATGCACTGGATCGATCAGGGGCCCCCGGGGTCTGGGACTGAAAGCAGTCTTCCTGGTCTATTTTTGAAGAGTTGTATTGGAAATGGAGAAACAGAATTTTGTTTTGTTTTCTCTAACTCTTTTTATGTGCGCTCTAAGTTGACAGACAGGTTTAATGTGGGGGAAAGGGGGTGCTCGTTTGTGCTCGTAACAGTGATTAACAGGCACTCCATTTCTTGAATAGATGTAAATACAGCTTGCAGATGACTTCTGGTAATTTTTTATTTTCACACTTCACAAAAACATATTGTTTGTTGTTTTTTTTTAATGGGATTAAGTAAACATAGTACAGTATTACAGATCCTGGAAAGTGATGGTCTCTCTTTTTAATAGGATTATTTTTTAATTATTGGTTATCACATACAATTACATAGAATTTGACGGCAGGCGGATAAGAGCCATTTGGCCCATCTAGTCTGCCCAATTTTCTTAATACCTGCATTAGTCCCTTATCTTATATCTAGGATAGCCTTAAGCCTATCCCACGCATGCTTAAACTCCCTCACTGTGTTAACATCTACCACTTCAGCTGGAAGGCTATTCCATGCATCCACTGCCCCCTCAGTAAAGTAATACGTCCTGATATTATATTTAAACCTTTGCCCCTCTAATTTAAGACTATGTCCTTATGTTGTGATAGTTTTCCTTATATTAAATATAATCTTCTCATTTACTGTGTTGATTCCCTTTATATATTTAAATGTTTCTATCATATCCCCCCGTCTCGTCTTTCCTCCAAGCTATACATGTTAAGATCCTTTTCCTTGTAAGTTTTATCCCGCAATCCATGAACCAGTTTAGTAGCCCTTCTCTGAACCCTCTCTAAGGTATCAATATCTTTCTGAAGATACGGTCTCCAGTACTGTGTACAATACTCCAAGTGAGGTCTCACCAGTGTTCTCTACAATGGCATGAGCACTTCCCTCTTTCTACTGCTAATACCTCTCCCTATACCATCAAGCATTCTGCTAGCATTTTCTGCTGCTCTATTACATTGTCTGCCTACCTTTTAATCAACTGAAATAATTACCCATAAATCCCTTTCTTTAGATGTTGAGGTTAGTGCTGTATCAAATATTCTATACTCTGCCCTATCTTGCGCTTGTCCACATTAAATATCAGTTGCCACAGCTCTGACCATTTGCATGAAATGCAAAGGAAAGGTATAAAAACACAAAGTAATTCTATATTTTATTTATAGTGCTATAGTGTTCTTCTCTGCCTTTAGTTTAAGAGCCAACCCAATCTAAATTTAAAAAAATGGGGGAAATGGGTTTTGTTCCCTTTTTTTTCCAGTGTGGAGATCCAGTTCCTTCAGCCGCTTGATCCGCATCCCTTGACATCATGCAGTTTTTGTTTTTGTCCAATCCAATAGTCCTAACAGGGGAGAATTGGGGAAGCAAAGTGCATGCAAGTCCAGCACTGCGCTTCTCCAGTGAAATGGAAATTAGCTGTGAGAACAGAGTTTCTCCTTTTTTCTCAGCAGAAGCCCCACTAGTGTCTGTTAGGAAATGTAAGCATTTCTGTATCTATTAAACAACAATGCTTTACTTTGCAGATTCAAACTAAAGTGCCATTGTCCCCAGATCACATTGACATTGAGTGGTTTGGGTGCCTAGTGGTCCTTTAAAGGTATATTCACCAACTGCTGAACTGGCTTTTTCAAATTTGTTTTTTTATTTGTCTCAACACTCCTGCATTTGGTTGTTAAAATTTCTCTGTGGTTTACTGTATTCACTAAACCATACCAAATAAAGCCAAATGGATCCCTGCTATTTTCAAATGGGGTTTCCCTGCTACAAAAAAAGCCATAAATGTAAATCCCTCCCTTCTCAGCTGCTGGGTAGGTCTAAGGGGTGGTAGGGATAATATTGTATGTGTGCTGCTGTATTTTTGTCAGTGTATGTGTTATTATAATTGTTAGTGAAATTGTAGTTTAGTGTAGGTTTGTGTGTGTTTCTGGAAGTGAGTGTTCGCATGTGTCTATAGATGTCTGTCTGTTAGTTTTTCGATCAGTGTACAAGTGTCAGTGTAGATCTCTGTATGCGTTTTTGTGTTTGTCCATGTACAAATGTAAACTTGTTTTTAAGTGTTTGTGTGTGTGTTCATGAATGAGCATATTGCTAATTAGGTTGGCGTATGTGGCAAGTTATGTACGTGTGCGGATAGTTATTTATGAATGTGGCTAATTACACGCATGTAAATGGACAACTCTGTCAGATGAAATGCTAACTTTGCTAATTATGTGTCTGTGGCTAGTTATGTATGTGTTTGTGTGAAGTATTCAGGTTGGGACCTCTTGCATATTTTTTCACACATGTCCCTGGAAATGATAAGGATGGTCCGATTATTCGCTTTCTCCTTTTTACATCATTGCGTACTTAAAAAGTATGGCTGACGTTGGATTTTATGATATTCTATTAACCAAATCTCTATCCTTTCTCCTCTGCTGCGTCATCAGTCTCTGAACTCATGTTACAATCAGGTACAGTCATTTTAATTGTTGATGGCGATATAAACATTCTACATTTGCCATTCATCTCTGTATATCTTAGTAACCCTGTTATTGCTAGCACACAATGAACCGCTGACAAAACGAGCAGTTAAGTCTTCTTTTTGCCTTTTGTATTTTTTACCTCACATTTTTAAAGTATCCCTCTTGTTATAGTTTCATCAGTGCGTTTAATGAGTTTGTAAAGATTAGTTAATTAATTGAGACATTTTTCTTGATTTATAGCTTCTCCCAGAGTCCTACGGAGCATGTGTGAAAATTATTACAGATATTCGAAACCCAGAAAAATCAGAATCTGTGTTGGGACCTGGAATGTCAATGGTGGGAAGCAGTTCAGAAGTATTGCATTCAAGAATCAAACTCTAACAGATTGGTTGCTGGATGCTCCAAAGATTGCAGGGATTCCAGAGTTTCAGGGTAAAAGATATATTAAATTTTTTGTCTTAAACTTATCGGACGTTGACTGCTTACCTTGGTTTCTATAGCTTTTTTTTAATTATGATACATTATGTGAAAAAGTAGTCCACAATAACTGTAGATAGCATGGCAAAAAGCCAACCATCACTGCTATTGCCTCCTTCCTTGACACCACTCAATTAATAACTCAACCTTTTTTATTTTGTCACTTTGTTACTAAGATGTTGTCTATCTTCATGGCCAGTTGAAGACTACACCCTAATCAATCAGTTTTAAATTATAAATTATTCTCATGCTCATTCCAGCACTTGTTTTGAACAGTTTAACCCTGAATTAGGGTCCCTGACTTAACTGGAGGTAGGGATAAGGTAGAGATTACAGACTTCTTCTAGCCATACTGGTTCATACCAGCAATGGCACTGTATTAGACTGAATTCAGTCAGCTTACACTCTCAGCCAATCACTGCTGCTTAGGCAAATGCTTCTTCCAGCACAGAGGGACAAATGCTTGCTTAGTGTTAAACCATAAAACCCAGTTTAACTCTGAATGGAAGGACAGTACCAGGGGATTGCAGAAACTATAACACCTTCAATGAGATGAAGCAGTGACAGTGCCTATAGTTACATAGCTGAATAGAGACTTGCGTCCGTCAAATTCAGCCTTCCTCACAGTTTTTGCTGTTGATCCAAAAGAAGGCAAAAACCTAGTCTGAAGCGCTTCAGATTTTGCAACAAACTAGGAAAAAATTCCTTCTTGACCTTAAAATGGCAGTCAGATATCTCCTTGGATCAAGCAGCTATTATCCCACTAATTAAAAAATTATATCCCTGTATTTTATGTTTTTGGAAGTATTTATCCAATTGCTGTTTAAACATATTTATGGACTCTGATAAAACCAACTCTTCAGGCAGAGAATTCCACATCCTTATTGCTCTTACTGTATAAAAACCCAACAACTTTTCTTTGCCTTAGATGAAATCTCCTTTCTTCCAGCCTAAATGCGTGACCTTGTGTCCTATGTATAGCAATGTTTATGAATAGATTTCCAGATAATGGTTTGTACTGGCCCTGAATATATTTGTATAATGTTATCATATCCCCTCTGAGGCGCTGTTTTTCCAAACTAAAGAGATTTAAATTTTTTAACCTTTCTTCGTAACTAAAATACTCCATTCCTTTTACCAGTTTTGTAGCTCGTCTCTGCGCTTTTTCTAGTTCCATGATATCCTTCTTTAGAACAGGTGCCCAAAATTGCACAGCATATTCAGTCCCCCAATCTATCTAAATCCTTCTGCAGCAAAGCAATATCCTGCTCACATTTTCTTACTTTACAAAGTTGTGTGTCATCTGCAAACACTGAAATATGGCTTTTAATGTCTATTACAAGATAATTTATAAATATGTTAAATAGAAGTGGTCCCAAAACAGAACCCTGAGGGACACCACTTACCATTAATGACAACTTGTTGTACTCTATCTTTAAGCCAATGTTCTACCCAAGAACAAGAATATTCTTCTAGACCAATTTCTTTTAGTTTGAAGACTAACCTATTGTGAGCAACCGTACCAAATGCCTTGGCAAAATCCAAGTAGATCACATCCACTGCAACACCCTGATCTATACTTCTTCTTGCTTCTTCGTAGAATGCAATTAGGTTAGTTTGACATAACCTATTTTTCATAAAACCATGCTTATTACAAAGTTCTTCCCAATGAATTCCTGAATATTATCCCTTAATAACCCTTTAAATATTTTCCCAGTCACAGAAGTTAAGCTCACAGGTCTATAATTTCCAGGCAAGGATTTTAAACCCTTTTTAAATATAGGAACGACATCTGCCTTCCTCCAATCCTCCGGTAAAATTCCTGAAACAAAAGAATCTTGAAAGATTAAATACAGAGGTTCCCTTATTTCCCCTCCTAAAACTTGTCACACCTATAACAAGTTAATTTTGAGCCGTTGTCATGTGAAATTGTGTTTCCTTGATCATCTGAAATGTGTATGGAATTTAATGGAATCTCACTGCTACAAATTTACCACCCTTGGAGAATACCACCATGCTCCTTCTATGTAACTTGCTGATAAGAGAGCAGATCTTCATGTCTGAGCAGCAGAACATGAATTGCTGGGTAACATGGAGCAGTCTTGGGCAAGATTTCAATAGGTTCAGGTGTAATTGCTTCACTTTTTGAACTTTCAAACTTTCATGAAAGTTGCCCTCTAAAATTTGGCTTAGTGCATCAAGTATCTGCATTGCCTATCCAATCCATTTTTGAGTTTCGTTTTGTAGGAATTTTTAGGAAATGTTAAATATCGTTGCCTGTGTGATGTCCCATATGACGTGCTGTTGGATAGTGGAAAGCAAAACTATTTTCTTGCTTTCCTTTACTATATATATCTAAACTTTCCCATATTTTTTACTTTTTAGATCGACGAAGCAAACCAATTGATATCTTTGCTATAGGATTTGAAGAAATGGTTGAGTTAAATGCAGGAAACATTGTGAATGCTAGGTAAGTAGAATAGGGAGATTGATGGTGTTAGATAAATTAATATATATTTTTGTTAATGGTAGAAATTATAGTAATTTCCAAGAAACAAAATTGTGTTTTGATTTATTTTACAATGCAGGGAGAATAAAACTCAATATCTATTTTTTATTTTTTTGTGTGTGTGTGTTAGACCCGGGTGGTGTAGTTGATTAGAACCCCTTCACTACTGTTGTAGAACTAAGTTTGAAGATGTTTTGCCAAGCCTTAAGGCATCATGTTAGTTTTGTTAAAACCCATCATGTTTAACTCAATATTCCTGTCTAGCATGCATTCAGCCTGACAGCTGTCAGAGACCTGTTCCTTGAATTTTCTAGCTATTCTCTCTGTAGTGTTCACTTCTATGATTTGTGGCAGAGAAATTTGAAGGCCACCGAATTAAGTGACCAAGCTTTTTCAGTGGAAGGGAGAACACACTAGACATGTGCAAAAATTACCAATAAATGGTGGACAGCGCACTAATCACCATTTCCTCATAGAGATGCATTGACTCAATGCTTGGCATACATAAGCTTTTGTTTGATTATAAATGGATTAGATGCGTCTGTAGGTTTGGCATTGTGAGCCATATTACTATGGTTTGTTTATACAGTAAGTCTGCCATTGTTGATTGTTGATGGACTAGGAAATAATCAGTGAGTGAAACAGGGTAGATAACAAAATAGGAGGCTTATTTTTTCTTAGATGATTGGAAATGTATCAAACAAAAATCTTTTATTTTTTATTTTTTTTATTTTAATGTTTGTAATGCACCTATTATTAACTTTTTTTTTTTCTGTTCCAGCACAACCAATCAAAAGCTTTGGGCTGTAGAACTTCAAAAAACCATTTCCAGGGACAATAAGTATGTTCTTTTGGCCTCTGAACAGCTTGTTGGTGTCTGCCTATTCATCTTCATTAGACCTCAGCATGCTCCTTTCATTAGGTAGGTTTGCACTATTTGCTTGAGTTTTTATATTGCAGTGAATGTCTTGAATGCAAGTATCTGGTGATCTTCAGAACCAGTGAGATGGGGCACAGGCTGACCTCAGAGGAAGACGTCTGATCGTACTTTTCTGATGTCTTGCAATTCAATACCCACAGCGCAGGTGTACAGCAAGTATTTTTGATGTAGAATATCCTGACTGTTACACACTTGTCACCCATTCTCGTGACTGTTTGTTACAGGGATGTTGCAGTTGATACGGTGAAGACTGGAATGGGAGGAGCTACAGGAAACAAAGGCGCCGTAGCAATTCGCATGCTATTCCACACAACCAGCCTGTGTTTTGTCTGCAGTCACTTTGCTGCAGGGCAGTCTCAAGTCAAAGAGAGAAATGAAGATTATATGGAAATAGCCCGTAAACTTAGTTTTCCAATGGTAAGTACAAAATAAGTTAAAATTATTATATAACCTTTTTGGAATAATGGTTTATGGAGTTCAAACAGATGGGTGACCCAACGTGAAAATACATTCTATATTACCTTATGACAATATTATTTCGGCTATAGAGATATATAGCTATATCAGATAGTAGGATCATAGAAAAAGACTCCCCACCTCCCCCCCAAGGAAATAGAAGACACTGCTGCTCCCCATAGACAGGTAACTGTAATGCAATTAAGTCACAAGTGTCTATACTGGAAGTATCCCAAGGGGAAGCAGAATATTTAAACCACAAATTAGTCTCTTAGCAGAGAGAATATGAGGGCAGCAGATGCTCTTTGAAATCTGTTCCTCCTACGTTCTGCGCATTAAGCTCACACGAATAACTATTCCTGTGTAATCTGTGTTACAAGAATCATACCATTTCTTACACTATTGAAACATGTTACAGGCCTCCTACAGATTTTCTTTCCTATAATCTGTATTTTAATGAAAACACGTTTGCTGCTGACTGCCACACCTTTTCTTTTTATTGCCCCAACTTGATTTTTTCATATCTTCATATATTTCATCTTTAAAAGTGGAGCATTTTTTTTTGAGGGGCGTGGTCTGACTGTCGATGAGACCAGACGTGTTCTTCTAGAGCTCCGTTCCACCGGCGCCTAAAGCTATAAACAGCGACCAAAATAGTAGAATTTTTTGCCCTCACATACCCTACTATGGATAGAAGACCTTCTAAGAAACAGCCCAAGAGGACCACGGAGTCCGGAGGCTCCGTTTTGGACCTTCTCACAGCTTCTCGGCATAGCCGCGCTGACAGCCAAGATGGCGACGGGAGTTCCCCACACGCATCGCCTGGCGCGGATAGAGAGGCCCTCTCTGCGGAACAGAATACCGTTCTAACAAAATTGGCAGAAGTTAGATCTTTCCTCGCGGGGGAGATCGCCAAATCGACGGCGGTACTACAGGCAGATATTTGCGCCCTGGGAGAGCGTACTGCTAAACTGGAGGAACGTGTGGAGGCGACTACACAGGCCCACAATGCCGCTGTCGACAGAGTGAATCGCATGACGGCCCATGTTATTGACATGGACCTGGCCCTGGAAGATATGGCCAATCGCTCTAGGAGGAATAATGTCCGCCTGAGAGGCTTACCAGAAAGGCCAGAGGAAGACTTACAAGGGCTGCTGATGTCGATCTTCCAGCCCCTCCTTCCACACATTTCGGAGGAACACTGGCATATGGAGAGAGCTCACAGGGCGCTGAAGGCGCAAAGAGCGGAGATCAATACCCCGAGGGATGTCATCATAAACTTCCTATATTATAAAACCAAAGAGGCTTTGATGAAAAAGAGTAGAGAGGGTCCTATCCGACATGATGGAGCCCTTATCTCTTTTTACCAGGATCTGGCCCCTTCGACACTACAGAGGAGAAGGGACTGGCGGCCCATCACTGGGGCTCTGAGAGGGGCAGGTGTGAAATATGCATGGGGCTTCCCCTTTAAATTGATGGTTTTCCGAGATGGCCGGGCGCACATTCTGTCACCGGGGGGAGACCCGAAGCGACTGTTCCAGGGCCTGGGACTACAGCCTCCCCCGGATCTGCCCAACTTGGCGATGGGACCGGAAGAACTGCCGCAGATGCAAGCTGAGTGGCACGGAGTGGGACCGAGAAGCCAACGTTGATCCTAGCGGTATCGTATAACCCTCTTATACCTGCAAGGGATAATTTTTTCCCCCCCTTTTTTCTACATAACTGTGGGCAGCCGAGACTTTTTTCCTTTTGTTGGGCGGGGGATGGGACTGGGGATTCGGAAGCATTTATTGCGCTTGGGCCTTCCCTCTGAGTCGGCTGTTATGTGAACGCCTTTGCCAGGGAGATCGGGGGTTTTTTGTTTTTTGACCCCCGGTTGACCCTCACTTATCCCGCAAGTTAGTTACCATGAGACAATGAGGGCAGTGACGCTGGGGTACAGATGCTGACGCTACTCCCCCTGGATCTGGCCCACTGCATCACATGTGTTTGTTTTTACCCTTGGTTTTTTTGTTTTTTTTTTTTTTGGGAAAGAAGTTTGTATATGGAATTTTTTCGAATCCGGACTATATAATGTGGTTTTTTTATGTGAATGTGCCCCGTTGATGGTATTGTTGGGGTTGATTTATGCAGCTCGGGGTCCGCAGGGTGGGTTGCCCGCATATCCTCACACTAGGCGGTACCTCCCCTATTGGAGTTTTTTTTGCCCCATTTTCTCTTCTTTCTCTCTGGTTGGCTCCTTACCCAGTGACCCGAGACCTTCCCCCTAACCAGGGAGTTAAAGCTTAATTTACGACAAAACACAAAATATAAAAATTATTTCTCTAAAAAAAAAAAAAATAAATAAAAAAAAATAAATATATATATATAACAAAAAGAAATAAAAATAATATGTTTTGTATAGGGAGGGGCGGGGTTGACGGGCATAGAATGTGTTACTTGTAGGGGTTCGGAAATCATGGGGTAAGTGGGCGGACTTTCAGTAAAGCATGGTTTAGGCCCACTTTCATGGTAGGGGTGGCAATAGATGCATGTGATGGAATCGGAGGGCTGAAAAATTTTAAAATTTATTTGCGGTTTTCGTCATGTTAGAGGTTTCCCTTTTTTGAAAAGAGGGGTCCCAAACGTTATGCCTTGAGAGGGGAGTTGGGCAGTGATTAGTATTCCTCCCCCCCTGCAACTTCCAAAGGGGATATGAAAATGGAGGGTAGGACATAATGTGAGATGACCACAGGAGGTAGGAAACAAAAAGGGGCAGTATTTTAAACTTGACGAAGCCTTACTTAGTTTTCTCCACTGAAAAAGAAATGGTATACTTATGCACATAACTGTGCACCTGACCGGTGATCCAGCATGTGTAGCTGTTCTCTCCCCCCCTGGGATTGTGAGCCCCGGTTTGTGACTTCCGTCGGTGGGCCTAACCCCGGGCGCCCGCGGACCCGCTTTGTTTCTCCTCGGACGGGGGGAGTGGGCCGCGTTCGCCCCGGGGGGGCTACCATAGCTGGGATAATATGGGTACCGCTGCCTCCTGTGCGGCTGCTTGTCCCCTCCGGCTGGCCCTGTGAGTTTTTTCCGGGGGGTCAGCCGGAGGGGGTGACCACCCGGCCGGGTGGGCGGCGGCATATTGGGGGAGGGGGAGGGGTTCATCGTTTTCAGCGGGTGGGGGGGGGGTGTTGTGGAGGTCAATGTACGTATCTCTCTCTCTTTAGTTCCCTATCTTAGTTTCCAGTTTTTGCCGTAAATATTTATTGATAAGCAGGTTAGATCGCGGTGGCCCCAGATTTATTGGCACACACATTCATCGTGAGGTCTCCCATGGTATGATTGCCGGTAGAGAGCCGTGGAACTGCCGAGCTCATGGTCACCATCCTGGCTCCTTGTGCCAATCATAGGGAGAATGCCAAGATCATGACTCCAATAGGCTTGGCAGGGAGGTAGGATGTTTACCGGGCCAAAGAGATCAATGGTGGACGGGGACTAACGTTGAGTTCCCCGAGTGAGACCGGCACCGAGGCGGGGGGAGGGCAACGAATGGTAGTGGTTATTAAGTGACAAATGAAAAGGGTTTTGCTGATGTAAAGGTCTAAATTTACTATAATAGGCGCCTAATTGGTAGGAGCTCCGTATCCCGATGTTCCTCCCAACGTTGATCGTGGCAGGGAAACGGGACGACGTCCCCACTAATCTCCTGGCGGACAGTAAGACCAGGATCTCAGTGCACCGGACTGTGTTCGGGTGCAGCCTTTTTTTCTATTCTATCTTCTCTCCCCTTTTTTTCTTTCTTCTTTCCCCCCTTTCTCTTCCTAGGGGGGGCTGCGGGGTTGGGGGGTTGGCAGTGGGCGTGCTTCAGAGACCCGAAAAAGAGTCTGACAGGACAACGAACGTGAAATTATTATACAGAGCCTTACCTGACTTACCTGATGGAGGTTAAAATCATATCCTTGAATGTTAAGGGATTAAACGCTCCTAAGAAGCGTAGACTCCTATTACGGGAACTAAAACGAATGAACTCGGACATCGCTTTTGTCCAAGAGACCCATTTGCCAGCACAGGCCAAGTTTAGGTTGAAAGATCATACGTATGCAGGCTCTTTTGAAGCCAGGTCCCATTGCAAACGAAACGGCGTAGCGATCCTTATTAGAAGTAGCTGCCCTTTCCGTAAAACGCATTTTGAAGCAGACCCAGAAGGTCGAATGGCTATCGTCTCAGGCGTTCTACATTCACATACGGTCCATTTGATCAACATCTATGCGCCGAATCAGCCAGACCCGTTGTTCTGGGAAGTGCTGCGGGAGAAAATTAGGGGGCTGCCCCATGGAATGATATTTTTAGGGGGCGATTTCAATGCGGCCCCGTGCCCGGCAGTGGACAGGAGTTCGCGGACGGGTGCCCCTAGGTCACAGGGTAGGGGGGGACAGGATCGTCTGCTTAAAGATTTTATAGCCGCCACAGGACTTATAGATGTTTGGAGAGCTCATCATCCGGGTGATAAGGATTACTCTTTTTACTCTGCTCCACACGGAACTTACTCAAGGATAGATCTCTTCTTGACTAACGCAGCAGGCATGTCCCGAACCGTAGGATCCCGGGTAGGCGAAATTTCATGGTCGGACCATGCAGATGTCTCCATTACGCTGGGTAACTTATGTATCGCCTCGCCATGGACATGGAAATTGAACACGTCCCTACTTCAAGACCCAGAGATATTGGAGCAAACCAGGAAAGGAATCATGGAATATTTCGAATTCAACACCACCCCTGAGGTGAACGCGTGCACGATATGGGCGGCCCACAAGGTAGTTATCAGAGGGACCTTGATCAAGCTAGCCACTAGAAAAAAGAAATTGAAATATCTACAGCTGGAGAAGTTACTAGAGAACCTGAGATCCTTAGAACAAAGACATCAAGCGGCGCCGACAGAGATTACCCTCAGGCAATTGGGAGCGACGAGACGGGACGTTCGCACTTTGCTGTTGGACGATGCGGCTCGTTCTCTGACCTGGTCAAAACGGACATTTTTCGAGAAGGCGAACAAAATGGACACCTTATTAGCTAGAACGCTTAGGCCGAGGCAAGAGAGATCCCATATAACGGAGCTCAAACATTCAGATGGTACGAAGAGAACAAGACCAGCTGAGATAGCTGAGATTTTTGAAGATTTCTACAAAAGATTATACAACCACACCCCGGAAGGAAGCCCCCACGGTGCTCGTGAAGAAGAATATATTTTGCAATACCTAGACAAGCAGGGAATGACTAGACTGAATGGGGAGGCAACACACACGCTGGCAGCAGATATTTCGGAAGAGGAAGTGGACAAAGCTATCTCGAGCTTGAAAGGAAATAAAGCACCGGGGCCAGACGGTTTCGATGGTTCATATTACAAAACCTTTAGGAAAGAGCTAACGCCACATCTAGTCCACCTATTTGGTATCCTACGGCAAGGTAGGCATTTAGACCCTGACATGTCATTGGCGACCATAGTGCTTTTGCCCAAACCTGGGAAAGACGCATTGTATCCTGAAAACTATAGGCCTATTTCACTAATTAACCATGATTTGAAAATATTGGCAAAAATCCTGGCTGATAGGCTGAACCCTTTACTACATTCTCTTATCCATGCAGATCAAGTCGGTTTCATCAGGAATAGACAATTATTCGAAAACACTAGACGGAATATTGATTTGATTTGGAGGCAGGTGGCATTGGGGACCCCTACATTGGTAGTCTCCATTGATGCAGAGAAAGCTTTCGATAGAGTCCGGTGGCAATTTCTGTTCCCAGTTTTAAAGAACATGGGATTCCCGGAAGAATTTCTAACGATGACGAAAGCAATGTATCATAATGTTCGGGCGCAAGTGCAGATATCGGGGGCCCCACTACGCCCCTTCCGGTTGCATAATGGAACAAGACAGGGATGCCCACTCTCTCCCCTTCTTTTCGTTTTGGCCCTGGAACCCTTACTACAGGCAGTCCGAAGACACCCGAACATCGTTGGTGTACAGGTAGGAGACAAGGAATTTAGGGTTTCAGCTTACGCTGACGATGTTCTACTGACCATCACGAACCCTATAGAATCGATGGAAGCAATACAAGAAGTCATAGCCGAGTACGGTGCGCTATCAGGTTATAAGGCAAATATCCAGAAATCTAGTGCTCTACCACTGTGCTTGTCGCAAGCTGATACGGTTCGGCTACAGGAGATTTACCAGATCCGCATGGAAACGGACTCCCTGAAGTACTTGGGAATTAATATGACAGCTGATCCCGAACGCCTATACTTAGCTAACTATACCCCTATTTTTAGAGATCTGATGAGGGACTTAGACAAATGGACGGACAAACCCATATCCTGGATCGGTAGGATACACTCAGTGAAGATGAATATACTTCCGCGTGTATTATTTCTCTTCCAGGCGCTACCCATAAGAGTAACAAAGACGCAATTACTACCGCTGCAAAGATCGATTGGAGATTTTATCTGGCAGAACAAGAGACATCGAATTGCTAAACAAGTGTTATACCGTCGCAAAGACAGAGGGGGATTGGGCCTTCCGAACCTCTATTTCTACTACTTGGCGGCTCAACTGGCGCAGATAGTCATGTGGCATTCCACGATGGATGAGAGAAGGTGGGTAGAAATAGAGGCTATGATGGTAGGTGTTGACGTACCCCAGTTCACGATATGGGTCTCGCCAGAACATAGACCGGAGATACGAAAAACATGCCCGGCAATCCTTAACTCGATACGAATATGGGATACTTGTAGATTAAAATATGGTCTGGCCTCATCCCCTTCTCCATTGACCCCCTTTTTGAGAAATAGGGAATTCCCGCCTGGTATGGCCCCCAGAGACTTTAGAAACATCGAAAGGACTGGGCTACAAAGGATTCATCAATTATATCATGATGGAGAGGTAGTACAATTTGCAGATCTTCAAGCAGAAAATCATTTAACCCCAGCAGATTTTTTTAGATATGTCCAAATACGGGACTTCGCCAAGAAACCACATATCAAGTCGGCAGCCACCAGGAGACCCACTTTTTACGAAAGGATTTGCTCGGAGGGGGCAACCCCCCAGGGGCTGATTACCCTCTTATACGCACACCTATGTGGTGAAAATAAAGAATGGGGAAAGTTAACTTACATTGATCAATGGGAGAACGATCTCGGCGAGACTTTGGAAGGGGTCGAGTGGCAGGAGATATGGGAAGCAAGCGCCAAGGTATCCATTTGTGTCACCCTTCAAGAACAGGCTTGGAAAACTCTGTTCAGATGGTATACTACCCCAGTTAAACTTCATAGAATGCATAAACGGGAGACAGATGATTGTTGGCGGGGGTGTGGAGCACGAGGGACTTATATTCATATGTGGTGGGGGTGTCCAAGGCTACTAGGCTTTTGGAAGTCTATTGAAGACCTTTTGAAACAGACGTTTGATAAACCCCTGAAAATGGACCCGTGGATTTATTTATTAAACAGATCAATTGATGGATGGACCAAAAGGGAGCAGAGGTTAGTACACAAAATCACACTGTGTGCGCGCAGAGCAATAGCATTGGCATGGCTTACAGTAGAGGGCCCGGATTTCGCAGGAGTTATACCTAGAATCAAAGAATGTAGAGTGATGGACGATCTAACAGCAAGGGTGAGAGGTAATGTATCGACGTTTCATAAAATTTGGGAACCCTGGGACAACAGTGTAGTTGGCTCGAGAGGGGAGTGAGTGCCTTCCCTGGTACAAGTACGATTCGCACCGGAATTCATTAACGCTAGCAGGGCCTTCTGTATTGGCGGGGCTGCTGCCTTTTTTGACCCCTCTCTCGTTGGCCCTCCCACCCCCCCCCCCCCACCTCTTTTCTTTTTCTTTTTTCCTCTTTTTCTTTTTTCTCTCTTATAAACCTTCCTCTAGCTTACTTCATCCCCTTTCCTATCTATTTCCTTTTTTTTTCTCTTATATTTCATTTTTTCTTGCTTTCGTTTTTAATTTTTCCAGGCATGGTCATATGATGGGAGGAAAATGAAACAATGACACGACACTGATTAATAAATCTGAGTGATAGCTGTCATTGATATCTACTCATATTATGATTCGCATATATCCCTCTCCAGAGTTAGCAAACGCCTACCGTAAAACAAGAACAGGGTTGGCATTAATGGAGCAGAATGGTACGTGATTACTCCTATCTTGCAGGGCAATTATTTAGATAGTACTTAGCCAAGCTGGGATCTCATGCCTAGGACGGATAAGGAGCTCATAGATCACATGATATCCACGTTACCGACAGATGTCAACAATGTGGCAAGGCTGGAGTTTATTTAGTGTGACCAAAAGAAATGTATTTTAAGTGACCTTTATATTAACTTTGAAAGGGATCGAAAAAGACTTCCTTTTTTGTTGTGTGAATATAATGTTTATAATTATATAAAAACAAAAATCCTCAATGGACGGCAAGTGCTGATAGCTCAAATATGACTGGGCTTATATTGTGATTGTTAAGCTGTATTTTGTATAATACTATTATTACACTGGCTTTTGCATAAGCCCAAAGTCGTTAATAACTTGATGTGTCTATTGAGCAAAAATAAAGAATTTAAAAAAAAAAAAAAAAGTGGAGCATTTTTTGTTTTGTTTTGTTAGGGAAGACTGCTGTTTTCTCACGATTACGTGTTTTGGTGTGGAGACTTTAACTATCGCATTGATCTACCAAATGAAGAAGTTAAAGAACTGATCCGGAGCCAGAACTGGGATTCTCTGAATTTAGGAGACCAGCTGATTAATCAGAAGAACAACGGACAGGTATTAAGACACATAACTGTGAACTTTCTATTAAAGTTGAAAATAAAATGTCATTTACTTGCAGATTAAATTGCAAATGAACATATTGCTTGAAAGAAGTGTAATTGATTTTCAACATTTATTTGTGAGACATTTGTTATTTTCACTGTTGGAGATGTCCTGCCATCGGGGGGAGGGGAGGAGAGTGGGCAAGTAAAGGGGTAAGATGGCCACGTATGTATGTACTTTTTATTTATTTATTTGACTTCTCAATGCAGGTTTTTCGGGGGTTTCTAGAAGGAAAAGTAAATTTTGCGCCTACGTATAAATACGACTTATTCTCAGATGACTATGACACAAGTGAGAAGTGTCGTACACCAGCGTGGACAGATCGCGTTCTCTGGAGGAGAAGAAAATGGCCGTTTGACAAGTCAGGTGATTTTAAGGTTTTGGGATTCCCTTTTTTGCATTCTGCTTTCATATTGGTATCTAGTCTATCTGGATAGTTAAAGGTACAGTTTAGGTCTTGATTGGGCATGGAACCAATAAACTATTAGCTAACCTTGTGAGCGAACAATGACTTTTCACTGTATTTCTTTGTTTAGGTTTACTACAACTGCCATGGTAAAAATATGTCCTTTTGGACAACATTGAATTATCATTTATCTGTCTGTAGCACACTGACGATTAAAGTATCTCCAAGGATGAATTCAATAGGAGGGGGGCATGGTCAGGAAGCCATGGTCATAAAGTTGTTCTAGTGAGCGAAACTGCTTTCCCGACCTAGAGAAGAATTCACGTGTACTGTGTGTGATCTGCTTTAAGCATTATATGTCCATATAGTCAGAAATCATCTTTACATCCTAGGCCTTGTTTGTTTGTTTTGTAGCTGAAGATTTAGATCTCCTGAATTCAAGCCTACAAGAAGGGAATAACGTTTCATACACATGGAATCCGGGCACATTGCTGCACTATGGCAGAGCCGAGCTCAAAACGTCAGATCACAGGTACGTAACCTAGACATGTGAGATTGGTATTTTTTTTTTCTTTTTCAATATGTGAAAACAAAAAGGTTTAGAGTTAAAAATTTTACCCATCTTGCAGGCCTGTTGTTGCCCTCATCGAAGTTGATATATTTGAAACTGAAGCAGACGAGAGGCAAAAGATCTATAAGGAGGTGTTTGCGTCCCAGGGGCCCCCTGATGGCACAATAATGGTCTCCCTCCAGAGCAACACCCCAGAAGATAATTATTTTGATGACAGTTTAATTGATGAGCTGCTCAATCAGTTTTCAGGCTACGGGGAAGTTATACTTATCAGGTAAATTTCCATTTTTATTTAGAAATATTGTAAGCTAGCCTTTTCATGTAATGATGGATAATCCTAGCCAGGCCACGAGGGCAGCTAACGTTACCCATGTAGATAACATGGTCAGTAATCTACTAACCAAAGAGGCCATCGTCCTTGGTAAAAATGAGATCCAGGCCCATAAAGAGTTAAAGGAAAAAAATAGCAAATTCCGGGTTTGGCTTGCATGGCTTTTACATCAGTTTTATGCTGCAATAAGGGACACGTGAAATAGGTTATTGATAGTTTATCTCTAAGCTATCACTGAACTTACCAATTTTCAAACAATCCGAATTTTCCAAGAACTACAGTTAAGTATTAACAGACAGTCCTCTTTCTGCAGGTTTGTGGATGACAAAATGTGGGTTACATTTCTGGAAGGAAGTTCTGCTTTATCTGTTTTGGACTTGAATGGCACAGAGGTAATGTGAACATGTTTGTTTATGGTTATATATTTATTTTAGAGAACCAGTGGTGTAGCTTGTATAGTATAGAAAGGCTGCACTCTCCTAAACATAAATCCTTCATAAGGGTGCCGCTGTAACCAATAAGTATTGCAAACTCGATAGAGCGCCCTCACATTCAAACTAGCTTTAGAACCCATAAAATGTTAAAAAAAATAAACCTGACCTGGGTAAAAACAAAAATGGGGATTTAGTTACAGTATGTGATCACAGATTGTATAATCCTACCACTATTTACAGACACATATTCAAGACACATCCTACTATTTACCAACCTAATGAAGTTAACCTATTTCTATTCGATTCAGAGAAGAGTGAGCATTGTACGAAATATCAAATATGTCCAATATATGCAATATCACTCTCCCCAATAGTCACATTTGGAGAAAAAGCAAAGTGTCTAATACATTTATGATAAAAACTAATGTTTTCCCAGTGTCCGCACGTCATATAATAAATTAATTATAAATAACCTATCATAATGAAACTAACTCTGATTATTAGTGACAGTTTGTGAGTTGGTCTACGTTATAATTCTAATGTCCAACTCCTCATAAACGTGTAGGTATTGGGAAGACCGATCGGCATTCAGTTAAAGAATCCAGACTGGATCCTGCATTTAGAGGAAGAGATAAAATTGGAAAAGATCAGCCTGTCAATGCCGTGTTCCACAAGTTCCACTCTGCTTGCCGAAGATGTAGACATCTCGGGAGATTTTGACATGGAAGGTGAGCTGGTTTTCAAAGTATAAGATTACATCGGTATACGTTCTGATGCAGGGCTTTTGCTTCCGGTGAGTCCATTGGGCATGTATAGTTCTATAGCAGAGGTATCATTTTGACACTTTGACAGATTGCCTTCTTGCCTCAACATACCAGATCGCCACAGATTGGTTGCATGCCTTCTGCAGCTAAACTGTTAAAACAGGCTTTAATGACTATTGATACAGTCAGCCTTGCAAATACCCACAGACATCAAAAGTAGGAGAGGTGGGAAACGATTATACCATATTATCGCTGCCGGGGTGAGTTCAAGAGAATTCAGAGATATAGGAGAACGGTCACCTCAAAACTATTTATATATTAATGCTTTCATCAAGTATTGAAAGGAAATAGGTTGTTGTTTTTAAATCAAATATATGTGAAAAATTTGAAAAACTCATCCCTACATTAGTATATGACAGGATCCTTCAGCCATCTACACACACCTTGGGTCAGACGGTGTTTGAATGTGATAGTTGTTCAGTCTGATGATGTCACTGCACTGTGCAGGGAGTAAAGCAGGAAGAACATAGACTATATAAAGGGTTTTCAAACATTGTCTGACCCAAGATGCACGTCTATGGCTATTTATTTATTTTTTGTTAACATATACTTTACTTAACACTGAATCTGTTTCCTTTCAAAACTTCATGAAAGGATCGGTATATTTAAAAAAAATAAAATAAATAAAAATAAAATGTTGAGGTTACAGTTGTCCGTTAAAGAAAAGCTCCTGTTGGAATTTTCATTCATGCTATTTTTTTTTTATTTTTTTTTCAGAATTTCTCCCTCTTCTGTTCTCTCCATTTTACTCTGAATCAGTCTTTTTTTTTTTTTTTTTTTTTTTTTTTTTTTTTTTTTTTTGTTTTATATCATTTTTAAATGGTGGTAAAATTTGAGAATATCATTGGTATTCTTTTGCTATATCAGTTCAATAGCATGTTTTTGTTTTTCAAATTTGAAATGTAATCAAACCTTGCTCAAAGCATGAAAATGCGCTCTTCAATGCTTTGTGTCAAACCGAATTTAGACTTTTTATATTTTTACTATTATTAGTGGAATATATGTAGCGCTAACTTATTCTGCATCACTTTACAATATTACAAGAGGGGGAACTCAAACAATAAATTAGACCATTACAAAATGTACCAGGAACAATAGGTTGATGGAGACCCTGCTCAAACAAGCTTACAGTCTAGAGGAAGTCACAATATGAAGGGCAGAGTGGGGGATAGTTTGAAAGTAGCAGAATTGGAAGAATACAGCATATATAAAAGTACAGTTACAGACTGCGGCGAAACATCATACAAATTGAAATGAATGACTTGGTGTTGTTATATTTGCATTTTTTTGAAATGTAGATTAAGTTAGGGTTTCTTAAACAAGAATAACCAAGCTCTATTTGAAGAATCGTAAAGGAGACACTATTTTATATGCTAGGGATATAATAATACTGAAATTAACATAACACATGTCTGGAACCTTTCTTTGCTCCAGGAGATATTGACGATTATTGTGCTGAAGTAGAGGAAATTCTGCCTCAGCATTTACAACCTTCTTCAAGCTCTACACTTGGATCTTCTCCCAGCTCATCCCCTCGCTCAAGCCCCTGCCCGTCACCCACAATGCCGGAAGGACCACCCCCATCTCTTCCTGTACGCCCAAGTCGTGCTCCTTCTTCAAAACAACCAGGACCCCCTGTGGCTACATGTCAAGGTATTTTACCCGCTAAGCCTTTTCTGTTCTTAACACAAGTTTTAAAATGATCATACAGGTCTAATTCAAGCAGGATCTTGATATAGGAGAATAAATTATATTTTGGTTTATGTTTGCTTTTCACAGGTTTGAACAATATACACTAGTATATCAAGTCTGTCTAGCCTGTATAGTCCTATCATGGAGAATTTTAATAAGAAAAACACAAACCTTTTAACTGTTTTTGATGTTAGTGGGTTTTTTTGTTTTTGTTTTTTTATGTATTTTTTTTTTTTTTTGGTTCCACCCTCTGCCCAATTATAAAACAAAGATTTAAAAGCTCCATTTTTCCAGAGCCTCTCTGAAGCAGGTCAGGCCTGATGTATTTTTCCTGTCCAATGTTTCTTATAAAAAGGTTTGGGGGACATAGGGAGCATGCGTGGCAATCCCCCTTCTCCGCCAATACAATGTTTTCTGATAAAGAAGCAAGCCATTGGACATGTGCTGAGCAGGATGACCGTGAAAGTAAATACCTTCAAAAATGGATGATCTTATGGAAAGCTGGCATTAATGGCTTTTCTGACCATGTAAACTTGGTTCTTTCTCAAAAGAGGCCATGTTTCACACTGACCCATTAAAGGGACCGTTTCTATACTCCAAAATCACTGCAGTAAGATATAGTGGTCTTGGTGCTTAAAAGGTCCCTTTATAAATGAACACCAACACATGAAGTCCTTTTTTTTTAAATTTATTTATTTATTTATTTTTTTTTTGCCATTTCAGTGCAGGCATTTTCATGTAGGGTATCATTTGGGTAATTCACATTTCTCAATGGCTGCAAAAGTATCTTGTAAATGTGTTCTTTGTTGTTGTTGTTGTTATTCTGCTTTTGATTTTAAATTGCCCAGTTACCCTTTTAAACTCATGTTTTGTTTCTAAGTCATTTACATTATGTTCTCCCAAAGTAACTTTATCTTTTTTTTTTTTTTGGTAATTTGTGTACTGTAGAACATGCTTTAGATGTCTGAAGGAAAGAATTCTTAAATGGTGTTACCTTGAAATGACATGGTCCTCTTTTGTATTTTCTAATAATTAGCTTTATGTTCTTTACTAGATTTCCAACCAATAACTCAACAGAAAGAAACTTTGACTCTCGAACCAAAACGTCCACCACCTCCACGACCTGGTGTTCCACCAGCACGTCCAGCGCCTCCTCAGCGCCCACCACCGCCATCAGGTAATACACTGCTTATGCAGAACCTCTGCAGTGCACATTGTGCATTCATAAAGCTCTATGACTGGCTCATTTCTAACACTCTAATCATCTACATCCTGAGATATATGTAGTGCTGAATGAGTGATTAATTCCCATTAAATGTCCTATTTGAATGTCCTATTAAGTGAGTAGACATAGAATTCTATTGAAAAAGCACCAAACCCATTTTTGTCATTTTCAATATATGATGCTATACCCCAAAGCCACATTGAACTTCATGTACTTTTAATTGGTTTACTATTTACCATAAACCATAAGCCTTACTTTTGCGAAGATAAACTTTTTAACAACTGATTTGTCAGGACATATCTATCAGTGAGAGGTCGTTTTGACACAGGTTTTTAATCAAAGGGCACTTTATGTAACTTGTCCTAAACATGCAGACACGTTTTAACATTTCTTCAGTGAAGTATCATTATATGCTGCAAAAAATCTCTTCTATTTTTGTATTAGTTTTATTGTCAATTTACCACAATGTTTAAATATGTATTTGTATACATGAGTGTCAAAACGTTTCCATTGCTTAGTTTGTGAGTAACATGTTTGTTGAGTTTTGTGAACATTGATAAAACAAAACATCAAAAGTAGAACCGTATATCCTTCTGTAGCTGTAAGAAAAATGGATATTAAAATCACAGTACGCATCCTGAAGAGGCATCACAGTGGTCATAGTGTTCGCTAGTCTCTCTAATTGTAGGGATGGGTTCCATTCTGTCTCTTCTGTTTTTGACTCTTTACTGTATCTCTCTTTTTGCTGCCTGTTTACTGTGTGCATTATAAGGGGCTAGGAGTCCAGCGCCCGCTAGGAAAGAAGCTGCAGGTAAATCTTTGCCTGTTTATTTCCAAGTTTGTTTGTATGATAAATCCAACATGCATTGTCCTCTTTGTTAAACCATAGCTGAAGTACAAGGCTGGTCTATATGAAAGAACATTTTTATAAAACTCATGGCTGTTTAAATTATTTGACCGGACTTGGCAAGCTTAAACATGTTGCTGTATAACATATCAGATAAAGAATCTTACAGCAGCTTCCTACTCACATCACAAAGAGCAAGAAAAATATGTCCATCACTACTTGGGTTCATGAATACGGAAAGACTGACTAAAACATAATAGGTTGGACATTTTTTTTCCACCAATAAATACACTCTGAATCAATCTGCTGTGAGTTTGTCCATAATATAATTATCTATTATCTTATGTGTCACCATTTCCATCCTGGGAGATATTATCTTATGGGTCACCATTCCAATGCTGGCCGATGGCTCCTGCTGCTAGTGTAATCCTGCATAATAGTTTCTTTTTATGGGAAGAAACATTATCAAGGGATCTGGTAAGTTAAAACACCCAGGGATTAACAGATAAGCCTGAGAAATATTCAACATATTAAGTTGCGAGTCTCTTCCCAGAGTGTGCCACCCTATGACACGCCCAGCAGACAGTATGTGTTTTTTGCATGTGCCTCGCCTAAAAACAAAAACAAATTCTATAATATGCGCTATGTTCAAGGGGTGAAATATTCACATAAAAGCAGAAATACCAATCTCAACACAAAAATAGTTAACTTAAAGGACCACTATAGTGCCAGGAAAACAAACTCGTTTTCCTGGCACTATAGGGTCTTTAGGTCCTCCCCACCCTCAGTGTTTCACTCCCGATGGGCTGAAGGGCTTAAAACACTTACCTTTCTCCAGTGCCGGGCTCCCTCGGCGCTGGGGAACTCTCCTCCTCCTGCCGACTTCAGCGCTGAATGCGCATACGCGGCAAGAGCTGCGCGCTCATTCAAACCGTCCATAGGAAAGCATTCCTCAATGCTTTCTTATGGACGTCCAGCGTCTTCTCACTGTGATATTCACAGTGAGAAGCGCAGAAGCGCCTCTAGCGGCTGCCAGTGAGACAGCCACTATAGGCTGGATTAACTCTAATGTAAACATAGCAGTTTCTCTGAAAGGTTAACCCTAGAGGGACCTGGCACCCAGACCATTTCATTGAGCTGAAGTGGTCTGGGTTCCTATCTTGGTCCTTTAACCCCTTAAAACCGGAGGACGTACAATTACGCCCTCTAATAGGCGGCTCTAAACGCCGCCGGGCGTAATTGTACGCCCTCCAGTTTTTGTTAACTTACCCGGTCGCCGGCGGTCCCACTGTTCTACTCGGGAGACTTCGCTGAACACAAATATTAGTGTTTCAAAACAGTAAAATGTATTACAACGATGATATCGCCAGTAAAAGTGAAGTTTTTTGCATTTTTCACGCACAAACAGCATTACACGGACAATATTATTGCTGTGATACTTTTTACTGTTTTGAAACACAAATATTTGTGTTCAGCGAAGTCTCCCGAGTACAACAGTACCCCTCATGTACAGGTTTTATGGTGTTTTCAAAAGTTACAGCGTCAAATATAAGGCTTGCGTTTCATTTTTTTCACATTAAAATTCGCCAGATTGGTTACGTTGCCTTTGAGACCCTATGGTAGCCCAAGAATGAAAATTACCCCTATGATGGCATACCATTTGCAATAGTAGACAACCCAAGGTATTGCAAACAGGGTATGTCCAGTCTTTTTTAGTAGCCACTTAGTCACAAACACTGGCCAAAATTGGCATTTTTTGCATTTTTCACACACAAACAAATACTAACGCTAACTTTGGCCAGTGTTTGTGACCAAATGGCTACTAAAAAAGACTGGACATACCCCATTTGCAATACCTTGGGTTGTCTACTATTGCAAATGGTATGCCATTATGGGTGTAAATTTCATTCCGGGCTACTATACAGTCTCAAAGGCAACGTAACCAATCTGGCGAATTTCAATTTCAAATGTAACGTGCTATATTTGACCCTGTAACTTCCCAAAACGCCATAAAACCTGTACATAGGGGGTACTGTCTTACACGTGAGACTTTACTGAATATAAATATGTGTATTTTATTGCAGTAAAAGCAAACAGTATTATGACACTGTCCGTTAAAATGTCATGTAGAACTAAAAAAATCCAAAAAAAAATGTATTTTCTCCCATTTTTTTCATATTAAATTATGTTTCATAGCTAAATATTTGATATTAAATGAAAGCCCTGTTTCCCCTGAATAAAATGATATATAATAAGGGTGCGTGCATTTACTATGAAAGAGGTGTATTACGGTTGGACAGACATGTAGCGCAAATGCCAGGTTTTGTTTACATTTTGTTTTGTTCACAATGTGTACATTTGGCTCCGTCCTTAAGGGGTTAAGCTAATCAAATACACATCTTATAAATATGTATAAAGAACCTGAAGGCATTTCTAGTGGGTCTTACCTCAAGCGTCTGTAGTACACAGAGCATTACATAATTATCTCTCAAGACTAGTGCTTTATCTATTGAGATAATTTGGGCATATGACAAAATGCCCTTTCATATAGGAGAAGCTTGTAATTTAGCTATGGTTATGTCATTCATGTTGGTTTACTTTATTGTTTTATTTGTTGGTATTTGAATGTAAAATGTACATGAATAGGAATTGCATGTTAAATAGTGAATTGTATTTTATTTCAAATTCAGTTGCAAATTCTGCCAGATTGATTGATTGTTTGGAAAAAACATCTAATGGTCACAGCTTTGCTGTTGAAAGGACCAGTCCAGGCACCCAGACCACTTCAGCTTAATGAAGTGGTCCCAGGCCCTCTAGGATTAACCCTTTTTTTTTTTTTTTATAAACCCAGCAGAAACTGCTATGTTTATAAATGGGTTAATCCAGCCTCTAGTGGCTGTCTCATTGACAGCCGCTAGAGGCGTTTGCGTGCTTCTCACTGTGAAAATTACAGTGAGAAGACGCCAGCGTCCATAGGAAAGCATTATAAATAGTGATACTTTAAGCCTACATTCACAGTTCAGTTTACAAATCATTACAATTCACTGTTTACTGAATTGGTGCATAAGGAAATACGGACCCAAAAAAAGTCCTTATCCACAATCCATTGTGCATGTTATTTAATATTGCTATGGGATCTATAATTACCTATACATATTTAGCCTGCATGCTGTGAAAGGTGTGTTTTGTAGCATGTATGGCACACCTTGTATTAACCTCCTTCTTCCTGGGAAGCTTTATAAATCCTACACTAGATGTAAACAAGGTAGAACAATTTCAAATTCCAAAAACTAGGTAAATTAAAGGACCACTATAATGCCCTGAGGGTGCCCCCACCCTCAGGTTCCCCGTCTCGCCGGGCTCTGGGGAGAGGAAAGGGTTAAATCTTACCTTTTTTCCAGCGCCGGGCGGGGAGCTCTCCGCCTCCGATCCTTCTCTTCGGCTGAATGCGCATGCGCGGCAGGAGCTACGCGCGCATTCAGCCAGTCTCATAGGAAAGCATATATGAAAATCACAGTGAGAAGCACGCAAACGCCTCTAGCGGCTGTCAAGGAGACAGCCACTAGAGGCTTTAGAGGCTGGATTAACCCATTTATAACCCATTAAGCTGAAGTGGTCTGGGAGCCTAGAGTGGTCCTTTAAAAATTTTTTTTAAAAAAATTAAATTAAGATAACTTTTACTTTACAATGTTGGCTAATTGCCAAATGCTATCAACACATAGGTATAATGTACGTTTATGGGGGCTGCAATTAGTTCATGGCTCGTGACATGACACAATGTTTCTGGAGTGCTATGCGATACAAGTATCTCCCGTGGTTGGGGACCAGATACATGAAAGCAAAGTAGGAAGGGGAAAATCAGAGAACAGATGCTATTGTATTGTAAAAGGAAACAACCTGGCTTGTTCAAGTGTTAAATGGAGGAAATTCATAGTAAGTTTCAAACCTTAGACCAAGAAAGCCAAACGGGAACATTTCGATTTCTTAAAATATTTGATGAAGTCCGCTTCTGAGCTACCACGGATATAGATAGTATATCCTGTCTCCAACTACCTTCTTTTAATTCTTTTTATTTTCTGTTTATTGTATTTCTACATGGCAGCGAGATTCTACATGGCAGCGTTAAAACCTATTTCTAGTTTCCCGTTCTATGAAAGCGTTCTGTGTGACAGGGAGTTAGGGTGCATGCAGAATTTGAGCGCAGTGATGTTGCATGTTTTGCATGGGCCATATGCAGCCTGTCTGTTCTCCCATATGTAAATGTCTGTGAAATCTCTAGTGTCTCTTCTTTCTTTGAATAAGGTGCAGGGCCTCCTCCAAGCCCGGGGGTAGCTCGGAGAGATGTTGAAGGTAAACTGATTACAATGCCAAACAAATTGTTTGGGGATTTTTTTTGTGTTTGTTTTGTTTGGACCTGTTGTGTTGCCATTCATCTTACACGATTATTTGCGAACGTGAGTGCAAAGTGAAATTATTTGGCCAAAATTTTAGTTAACTTTTAGGTCAAAGTTGCCAAACTGGAAGCCTAGTTGATTGTTTTTGTTTGTTTGTTTTTTGCATTTTGGCTACTTTGGCTTTAAATTTGAAATTCACTTTAGTTTATAATGCTACAACGAATAATGCTGTGTTTGGTGCCATCTAGTGTCCATCACAATCATTAGCATTTGCTATATGAAATTATAATCCCTAAGAATGCAATACCTTTAGCTGACTTTCTGGATAACTATTGCAGACTTTGTAAATAAAACCAGGTATTGCAAACAATCACATGCTTCATACAGCTTTATTTGCTGTCTGATTGACTGGTTGATGACATCATTCCCCATCACTTGGAATTTGTTATTCCTTCCAGGTTTTAACAGTAAGATGGAACATCCTAATGAGTGGTAAAACTTGTGGATGCATTTCATTATTTGTACAAGGTTTGCTAATCAAATTGTTAAATTATTTATATTTCTTTAGTGGTTTTAAATGATAACCTCTCCTGGGAGGCTAAAAGTATTTCATACAAAAACTGGTGTATACGTGATTCAACATGCGTTTGTGTATCCCATGTTTATAAGCAGGGCTAAATACAGAATTAGCAGTGATGTGGGCTCAATACAAAATTAGCAGCGCTACAGGCTAAATACAGAATTAGCAGTGCTGTGGGCTAAATACAGAATTAGCAGTGCTGTGGGCTAAATACAGAATTAGCAGTGCTGTGGGCTAAATACAGAATTAGCAGGGCTACGGGCTAAATACAGAATTAGCAGGGCTACGGGCTAAATACAGAATTAGCAGGGCTACGGGCTAAATACAGAATTGGCAGGGCTACGGGCTAAATACAGAATTGGCAGGGCTACGGGCTACATACAGAATTGGCAGGGCTACGGGCTACATACAGAATTGGCAGGGCTACGGGTTACATACAGAATTGGCAGGGCTACGGGCTACATACAGAATTGGCAGGGCTACGGGCTACATACAGAATTGGCAGGGCTACGGGCTACATACAGAATTGGCAGGGTTCCGGGCTACATACAGAATTGGCAGGGTTCCGGGCTAAATACAGAATTAGCAGGGCTACGGGCTAAATACAGAATTAGCAGGGCTACGGGCTAAATACAGAATTAGCAGGGCTACGGGCTACATACAGAATTAGCAGGGCTACGGGCTACATACAGAATTAGCAGGGCTACGGGCTAAATACAGAATTAGCAGGGCTACGGGCTACATACAGAATTAGCAGGGCTACGGGCTAAATACAGAATTAGCAGGGCTACGGGCTAAATACAGAATTAGCAGGGCTACGGGCTAAATATTTGACATGTTATTTATACAGCATCGACCTATTACCTATTCTGCAGTGGTGCAAACATTATACAATTCTATAAAAGTCATTTGAAAATACTACATAGAGTACTGTGTTGTTGGGGAAAAAAAACAACTTTTTAATGTAGAGAAAGAATGTGATCACCATAAGGTGTAGCCACTGCAAAAGTAGTTTAGGGTCTTGTGTATTAATTGTAACATGTATGTATGGGCTTAAAGGGGCACTCCACTGCCCAAATACAAAATAAAGCACTGTTTAATAGACATATGCCAAATGAAAACATGCATGCATTTAATTATGCATATTTTGTTATTGGGGGTATATCTAAAAACAGCTTGCAAAACCTGCCCATATCTTCTCTGAAGTCTTTTTGTGTCTGTCCAATCACAGACTTCCCAATGCAGCTATATGAGAAGTCTTTGCAAGGCAGGTGCTTCGGGCAATTGCTGCCTCTTGAGTTTATCTTCACTGAGTTAAACAACCAGGAAGTAACAGCCAAGGGGGTGTAACCATTTTTAATTTATAATACTGCCCGTTTCTAATGAACGAGGACACACTCTTCACACAGAATGCTCTTCAGAAAGTTAAACTGCTTTAGGGTGTCGCTGTAATCTAATTTCTCATTTGTAAGGGACACTTGGTCCTTATTTTGGAATGTTCTGTTAGTTATACCCCTGCTAGGTGAGACTTGAGAAACTGTATCCTATGATGATTTAAATCTATTGTGGTTGACTGTTTAAATAGAAACCCAGCCTTTAGATCAATTAATTATCTGTAGACTGAAATCATAGCTCTTTGTTTATATCTGCTAATTTTGTGAACCGTTTTGATTTCTTAAATTTAAAAAACAAAATGAATTCATTATAATCCTGCTATTTTGCACCATTATCTTTACCTGTATCTGTTCCATTTTGATCTTAGCCCGTGGATCGCTTCCCCCTCAGATGGAAGGAACGGCCCCAGCTTTGGGAGCTTCGGTTAGACCGGTCAGTGCCTCACAGCTAGAGTCTAGCATTCTTTTTTTTTTAATTATAAGTATCAAATAAAACATTTACTAGACATGTCTAAAATCAGGGTTTGTCCTAATTTGGGATATTACTGCTTCTAACTAGAGGTCTGCAGGGCCCCTGTGTCAGCTAACGGAGTATGCTACAATAGAGTGTAATAAAGGCATCAGAGTAAGTAACACAAGTATTGCCACTACAGGGAGCCAGGTTAACATGTTCAACCTTTGATAGTTTCTTATCATTGTATGGAAACTAAGGGGAAAAGCATATAAGAATACAGAGTAGTATTACTACTAGTTCACCTTTAACATGTGCATAATTGTTCTCATGTGCAGTATTTGTAAGGGAAATAAAACACTTGTTCATTCTGTAAATTCTGACACAATGAACATGTCCCGTGGGATGCTTTTCTTTTTACTATATGGTGATAACTATGTTAAAGATTACATAGTTACATACCTGAAACGAGACACGCGTCCATCAAGCTCAGCCTTTCTAGCATATGTTTTTGCTGTTGATCCAAAAGAAGGCAAAAAACCCGGTCAGAAGCACTTGTGCAACAAACTAGGAAGAAATTCCTTCTTGACTTCAAGATGGCAGTCTGAGATCTCCTTGGATCAAGAAGCTATTACCCCACTAATTAGAAATGACATCCCTGTATGGTTATTGTGACTAAGTGCAAGATAAATGAAGGGTAACCTGTTTTCTCATTGTTATGCATCTCACAAATGGGGAATGCTACGTATTATATTTTATACCCCACAGTATTCATTGGAGACATATGGTTCCCATATTGCCACAAAAAAGCAGGTCTAAAAGACAAGAGAAAAAATGATTTGGCTTATTCACAAAGTGTCCTTGCATGGTCGATTAGTTCTGCCATGCCATGTCTTCATTCTATAGCAGCTGCTATGGCTGATACTCCTGTTATGTACCTCTAGGCCAAGCTCGCAACTCTTAATTGCTGGAATGTTGCAAGTATTTAACATTTCCAAATTGCCATTACTTTACTTTAAAATTAACCAACTTGATGCACCCAGTAGGAGAGGGGTTTCTGAAAGCTCGTATCCTGTTGTCTCCCTATGGTTATAATTTGGAATACTCACACAGACATGTGCAACCAGTGTACCCAAGTACACCTTAATACGATGCTCGATTGTCCACACTGGCCCCATTTAAACCTGTACCTAAATGCTGGTATGAAAGAGCTCATTTTCATGTTAATGATGATTATCATTTGTCTTGATAAATAATAATTATCACTAGATCAAAAATAAAACAAAATCTGGTTTGAAGTTTGTATTGTATGTATTCTGTTGTAATATATAAAAATTGTGTATCTATATTTCAGTTGTGTGATGAATAGAATGATTATTGTTTATTTTAAGAAAATATTCAGATTTTATAAATAAAATAAAAAAACTAGTGCTCCTCCATCAACTGTAACTTGTAATTACAGAAATAAAGTATATCCAGTCTGTGTTCCTGGCCAAGAGAGGAACACATGGCTCCTGGTTTTGTGTAATGTTAAATGACAGTCTTTTTTGTTTGGTTTAGACGATTCCTCCACGAGCTGGCGTTATTAGTGTTCCACAAAGCCATAATCGTATAACACCAGCCCGACCGATCCCAGAAACATCAGTTAAACCGGCAGAACCTGCCAAAGGTACAGTGCTTAATGTCTCCTGCCTTTCTGGTACGCAATGCCATTATAAAGGTCCGCAGCACAGTCTGTGCTTGAATAGTGACAAGTTTCATTTAACTACAAATTCAGTGTGCTGGTCAAAGGATAAAGAGCAAACTGTCTGATTTAATTTGAGGACATTTACATCTATAAACTGTGAATTGTATAGGTAGACATTTTTATACTTTGTTCCTGGTAAGAAGGGATAGTAGTGTTAGAAGAGACAGTGAGAGACTTTGAGTGAGATAATATATTGCAGATTTCTGTAAGGAATATGTCTGTATATTCTGTGTGTCTCTGGATGGATGCCGCTGTGCTAGAGCCCGGACTATACAAAAAGCAAATTTATCTAAAGAAGGCAATACTAACTACTGCAGCTTTGCTATGTGAATGGAACTTCCCTTTAACCTGTATCTGCTTCATGCCTTTAAGAGTGACATGTGATTTTTTTTGATTGCATTACTTTGTTTAAATCTTACATTATGATCTACCTTTTCAGGACTTTCTTTTCTTCCCGAACCTTTGAAACCCCATCCTGCAGTTCCACTTCTACCCAGTCCAACTACCCAGCCCCCCTGCCAAAAGCTGCCAGAACCTCTATTGCCTACAGGAATGCAACCCATTTCCTCAACTCCGTCGATGCAGACCCTAGACCAACCTCCACAGCCACCACCACGCAGCCGCTCAGCTCAGAACTTACCTTCAGAGCAAGTAGCCCCCCAGCTGGTAGGTTTTACATCCACTTTGTTGGCGTTGCATACAATTACATAGCAATGCCAGGTCACTGAACACTGTAAGCAGAATGATGAAAGACCACACGATGCTTCCTTATTTAATTAGGCTGTAAAATGGCAAATGCACATGATGAATGCCCTAGGAAGACGTTGAGAATCATTGATATTATCTTTTCATAATCATATCATTTTCTTCTGCAGACATTTTCTGGAACAGATTAATCTTCATAATTTAGAGTAGACATTGTATTCTACTGACAATGTTTCTGCAACATCAGTCATAGAAGTGAAAATGCTAAGTGATGTTTGTATATTCTGTAGTCTGAACACAATAAAGACTGTTTCGAGACCAGATAGTATTTTGAATGTCGCCACATGTATATTTTCCATTTATTACTACATTAAACTATCAGTCGTGTAGAGTTTTTTTTTTTTTCTTTCAGGTTCTCACAAGATCATAATGAGTATTCATTGGCATAGGTCAAAACTTGATCACTTGGATATTTAGACATATTTAAAGGAACACTATAGGGTCAGGAACACAAACAGGTATTCCTGACCCTATAGTGTTTAATCCACCATTTAGGTTAAAGGAAAAGCATTGGATTGGCTAAAATCTGCACGGGGGCGGGGCCAAATGCCATTTTGGCCAATCAGGAAGTCCTCTTTTTGATTCAATGCATCTCTATGAGGAAAATGCAGAGCATGGGGACGCTGAACGTCAGGGCTGCTTTTTCGGGTCCTGCAATGCCAGGAATACAGATTTGTTTTCCTGGCACTGGAGAGTCCCTTTAACAATGTCTCTCTGATTATTTATTTATATATATATATATATATATATATATATATATATATATATATATATATATATATATATATAATATTTTATTTATTTATTTTTTACATTTTTTGCACACTTAAAATGGTTTTCAACCTCAAAATCACATTAAGGTTTATATCTGTATTTTCCTAATATCATCTTCTTTTAATATCTGTCTTTCTATCACAAGCAGGAGCAACCATCAGGGTAACAGGTACCAGATGCATTTAACGTTATTTCCTGTAATTCACCTTTTAAATGACCCTATTGGTGTAACATTACATTTAGCTTTGTATGTTTATCATGTCATGGATAATTACCTCATATGTTACGCTGACCAGTTAACCTCATCTCCTATGCAGTAATTTTGTCATGATAAAGAGGAGGATATACTGTTATAGTATCCTCTCGTGTTCAGTGTTGCCTTCCACCTATTGCTGGACAAAGTTTGCTAGAATGCTTTGCTGCCATTAGGTGGTTGTGTCGAGCTGGGAACCACTTGATGTATAGCATACACTGTAAATAAATTGTGGTCTTGTTACCAGATTGAATCCGGGAGAGCCACATTTACCTAAATCATGGCTATAACAATACATTTTTTTTTTTAAGTGTGCATGTGATAGAATATTTGCTTTTATCATTTATTTGACGATATTTTTTTCTGTGTTCTCCTGCAACTAAATAATCTTTATCTCAATCCAGTACAATGAATAGATTATTGCTCTTGGATTTTAATTTTGTCCCCAAGCAGAGGAGTGTAATATTGTATTGTCTACAGACTCTACACAATGAGAAACCAATGGCTAATTTATTTGAATCATACATTGAAATTGTTAAGATGTTAATGGAACACAAATTAGGAGTGCTATGATTAGGATCTAACTGTGCCAAATTCTAGATGTGTATGTATGATAGATTCATAGCTGGAACAATTGGATCTTAATGCATTACCCCAAAAATAAGACCTCCGTGGGATGTTTTCCATTATTTTTTTTATTTTTTTATCTAATCCTGCCAGATTATGACTGGAAGGGTAGATCCACTGTACTGGGGATGCCTCAGAAAAAATACCTATTTTTATCATGACTTAATTCTTGCATCATTTTGATTACTTTTACTGCTGCAGAATATAGATGTACACATTTAGACATGTAGAATGATGTAGATCTGTGTGTAAAAAGACATCACATGCTTTAATCTGGATGTATTCAGCATTGTGCAGACTGAATATGGTAGTCAAAATTAACCTTCATTTTATAGTTTGAGTTTAAAAGCGGCCAACTTGTAACCTAACATTTGGGTTTGGATTCAGATACCGTTGTCACCTATCCAGCTCTTGGGTTGGTTTCTGGTTGGTTTCGCCTGGCATTTTTGTTTCCCCATGAGTTTGACTTTTGTGCAGAGTTTATTGGCTGCAAACCACATTCCATCATTCATTCTCCTAATCAGATAAATATTCTGCAGTCTCTCGATGATTAATTATTCTAAGACGACTAACATCAAAGCATTCCCACCCCTCTGTTAACAAAAAAAGATGACTTTTGTAATGCAGTGTGTTTTAAGCCCTGTGATACATATTAGATGGCTATGACACATTATCGAGCATGTGCGAGAGAATCTGTGGAAGATCCTACAGTCTCTTAGAATCTCCAATAAACCTCCATCTTCTATTCTCACTTGCACAAGAGCATATATATCTTCAGGCCATGAGAGACCCTAGCGATACATGGGGCCGTGAGATAGGGGATTTTTACTCTATTCTATCTCCGAAATCTCAACCAACACCCCCGTAAATGCTGGCAAGTCGCTTTGGGAGGGGTCTTTCCAAAAACCTTAGAGCTACAGAAACACCACAGCAGTGCCTCTTTATCTGGGACTCCTCCCTATTAGATTCTTTATATT